AGATTGTTACAGACCACATACCCACGTGTCAGTGGTGTTCCCTGATAGCACTGGCCTCTTTGGATTATCCTCTCTGGATTATGCACCCTGCCACACTGCAAAAAAAATTCAGGAATGGTTTGAGGAACATGACAGTGTTCAAGATGTTGATTTGGCCCCCAAATTCCCTAGATCTCAATTTAAATGAGCGTCTGTGGGATGTGCTGGAAAAATAAATTGGATCACAACTTGCAGGACTTTAGGGCTCTGCTGCTAATGTTTTCGTGCCAGGTACCACAGGACCCATTCAGAGGTCTTCTGGAGTCCATTCCTCAATGCATCAAAGCTGTTATGGCAGCACTACAGGATATTGTTTTTAAAATTTAAATTAGTAGATATACCCCCAATAAAAAAGTGGGTATTTAATTGTGGGTTTTTAAAATAAAAAATCTTATTGGGGTATTTTTAAAAACCGCTTCTGACAGATCTCTTGTTGGGGGCCTTTGCAAACCCTCCCCATCTTCCCAAGCCCTGACTATATATGGCTGTCCAATCACAGGCTTCCCAATGCAGCTCAGTGTGAAATCTTTGCAAGCAGGTGCTCTGAGCAAATGCTGCCGCTTGAATTTAGCTCCACCGAGCTAAACAACCAGGAAGTAACAGTGCCGGCTGTCTGAATGCTTGTCATGATACCTGTTGCTCATGGCACTATGCAATCACAGAAACTGTGATGGGATTCCAGCATGGTTAAAATTTAGTAGGCCAAAATCTCCATGTGGCATATGTGTATGTTGTGTCAGTTGGTTAGCTACATGTAGCTAGGATACTGTCATCAGTGTACTGAGCATGTGCAGGAATGCAGGAACTGAAATTGCACTTATTTCCTTTGTCTTGGATGAGCCATGTGGTTTGACTAGATGTACAAGTCTATATTCTGCTCATTGATTGGTTAAAGGTATATGTGGGTGTAGCTATTAATGGGAGGAGTTATGTGCCTATATAGGGAGCCTGCACTATTGTTCAGGGCTCAGAACTTTCTGTATTTTTGGTGACATTAGTCCCTCTGAGTCCCGATCGGTGATCCAATAAAGAATCTCCTCCTTCCTGAAGAAACCTGTGTCCATCTCTCTGTACTTTGCTTCCGTCAGTTTCTCCGGTATCATTTGGTGCATTGGCCGGGAAACTCATCGTTCAACGGTAGCTGAGAGGCAGAGGCGTGAGACGGTCTATCTTTGCCCACGTTCTCTACGGCTGCACCCCTGAACTTCTGCGTGGACCTCCCTTCGTCTCGGCGCCACTGGTCTGTTGTCCAGGAGATCATCGGCCTCTACGTAAGAAGTGCTGGGGTGTCCCCGTCGATGAGTGTGAACTCAGGTTCAGGAACGAGGAGGTAAGACAACTGCTGTTTTAGACGGCAGACCCACTAGGGGTATACCGATTGTGCGGTAGGCCCAAAAGGGGTTTAAATCTGTGTATGGAATCTGCCCCCTCTGTCGGAGGGAAGGAGCGAAGGCGCACCGCTCGATCGAACGCTCTTTAGTAAGACCGCTTTGATCTGGTTAGTCAGGCGGGGTCCTGTGTAAATAGCCCTAGCCGGACACCGGTGTCTTGTCTAGACTAGCGTTCTAGGGTGTATATTACGTTCGCTAGGTCGGAGGGACCGGGAGACTAAGCGGCGCCTGTGTAAATTCGGTTCGCTAGCTCTCAACCTATCTTGGCTAAGTGGGAAGGCGTGTAAATTTGGAACCCACTAGACTTTTGATAGAGTAAATAGACTAGAAGGGCAATTTCCGCCCTCTAGTTCGCTATATGTGGTGCTTGGGCAGTGTGGCTAACCAAAACGGGTGTATATAGTTTTAGGTAGTCTATTCAAGGTACTGGCCAATAGTTTAGTTGGGATTATTGTAAATGTTGTTAAATATATTGTAGTTGGTGAATTGGTTAACTTGTATGTCCTACTAGAAAGTTAGAGCTCTGCTGTCTAGTGGGAGTGTAAATTGTGTGTATAACTGTAAAATAGCGCACGGTACCATAACTACTGACATGTACCATAACCACTGACATTGTGTAAAAATTACTAACAATTGCTGTTTTATGTTATATGTATAATACCATAACTGTTACTAACTGATCTGTGACTTTAAAACTGTATTATAACCACTTACTAACTGTACCATAACCACTGACTGTAAAGATGAGGTTACTAGAATGTGATATAGTTGGTTAGTCAAAAGTTGATTTATAGTACAGATAATTGTAGAGATGAATTTGTTGAAATGTTATGTGATCGGTTAGTTTATATGGATTAATAGCGTGGATAGTTGTATGGTTTGAATAATAGTTACATTGATAAGTGTATAGTCTTTGGTGGGTTTTTGATTTAATTTCGTGTGTGCGACGTCGTGATATTGTTGAGCATGTGAGGATCCTGTGTGTGTGTTTGGGCCTAGTGACTGCGCAATGTGTTGCTGGTGATAAGGAGATTGGTGTGACTGTTGAAACTGTGTGTATATTTGTACAGCTTTTTGAATCAGACGTTCTGTTGAAATAATCTGATTCACTTGGCTGTTAGTCTTTTGTCTTGTATGTTTAAAAAAAAAAAAGTAGGGAGTAGCTTGTCCTGGTGGCCGCATGGCCTCCATGTAGCAGTCTTCACTTAAATTTAGTGCAGAGTGTACATGTGGCTGTAACTAGTAGGCTGGAATTCTATGATCAGTTTCTATATATTGACTGTTGGAAACTGATTGTTGCCTTGGTGAATTAAACTGTGTCATATGGGAAACAATGTAGCCACATGGTGGTCAGAACTAAGGACTTAATTACAACTGCTTTGGACATCCCCTCCCCCCCTGGCATCTGATTACCAACCCCCCAAACATCCTCCAGAGCCAGAGTAGCCACGCCCATTTCTGGCTGGTATAATCAGTATTTGCACTCCCCCTGCTCTACTGTCCCCGCCTACCCACATACCTATCTGTTCCTGTGTTTCAAACTCTTGTATTTCTGTACTACCCCTCCCCCTAATCAATGATCAATGGTATCAGATGGTATATTGGTTTTTTAGTTACTGGATGGGCCCCTCCCAGCTTTGTCCAAAATGTCCCCTTTTACTAAACTACAAACTGAAATGTTTAATTTACCTTAGAACTAAAGATTTAATCAAGCCTAGCTAGCAGGGTGGACATTGATTAAAATAAGTAATAATAAAATAGGACATAATTAATTAAAGTCTATTTGTTTCATTTGACTTTAGGGAGGCACTCTAAGCCACCTACTGGCCATCTTCGGGAGTTACATTGATAATACATTGTTTATAACAGATAGATGTAGGATTGCTTACCCTATTTTAATATATTTATTGCTATAAGGTTTTATTTTATGTATAAATATATTAAAAGTTGAGTTTTCTTATTAGACCCATAAAGATTATTTTGATACAATTACCCTCTGGTGACACCTACTGGTAGGTTTTTGGTTTAACACTTAAAAAAAAAACAAAAAAAAAAAAACGTTTTTTCATCCACCAAATGCTGACTAATAAAATTATCTTACTACTCCTAGACTGGAACCTATTATTGAGCAGCCTTGCCGAAGTCCCATATTAGACACTGCTTGAGTCAAATAGGTTGTATACTCCCTTTAATCCAGAGGCCCCTGAAAACTTCCGAATGATAGACTCAGCATTTGTCAGCCAGGCCCAAGGTGATAGTAAAAGGAAATTAAAGAAAATTAGAGGGATTTGCAGGGATGTCCATAATACAGCTAATGGAGATTGCAAATACAGTATATATGAATAGGGAGATGGAGGAAGAACGTAAAATGAGGAAAAAGGCAGATATGCTAGCGGTAGCTATCTTAAGTGTAGAAAGACAGGGAAGTGAATAGAGGAGACGAGAATAGGCTGAGCAAGGGACTTTAAGTAGGAATTAATGTGCGTATTGTAGAAAGGAGGGACATTGGAAGAGTGAGTGTCCACAGAGAGAGCAGTATGAAGGTGATAGACAAGGAGAGAGAAGGGTACGAGGAGGTTATAGTGGTAGTTATAGAGTAAGAGGAAGTTTTAGAGGGAATGGTGGGAATAGTAGAGGAAGTGTTCAAGGAGACAGATACTATCCACCCACGCAGAGACCTAGAGAAAGAGAGGATAGAGATTTTGTGGGTCTGGCTGACACTATCATGGAAGACTATTGATACCGACTGGGCTCCATCCCACTTGGTCGAGCGGAGCCTATGGTCGATGTAGCAATAGGGGGAAAGAGAAGTTCTTTCATGATCGACACAGGTGCTGAACATTCTGTGGTGACTAAGATGGTGGCTCCGCCTTCGGGGAAGACTATAACTGTGATAGGAGCTACTGGGAGAAGTGCAGCTAGACCGGTTCTTAAGAGTCGCACTTGTATTCTGGGAGGCCATGTGGTGAAGCATTAGTTCCTATATATGCCAGAGTGTCCGATTCAACTTTTAGGACGAGATCTATTATCGAAGCTTTAAACTCAGATAACCTTTTACCTAATGGATTAACATCTCTCAAGTTTAAGGGATTACCAGGCATAATGGTGATATCGGTGCCGAGGGAAGAAGAATGACGCTTCTATTCCATAGTGACAAGTGTTAACCCTAAGAGTGATGAATCCTTACTTGACATTCCAGGAGTATGGGAAGAAAATAATCCTCCAGGACTTGCTCGTAATATCCCACCAATACATATTGAGTTAAAGCTCGGGGTGTATTCTGTTAGCCTTTGTATGTTGTTCTTTTATCTACCCCAACAGCTGTAAAGGTGGCGGAAGTGACTCCTTGGATTCATCATTCTAAGGTTAAACCAGCAGCAGACTCTTGGCAAGCTACTCCAGATCCTGAGAATCCTTGCAGGACCCGGTTGAAGCGTGCAACTCAGTCGGAGTGACGAGGGGATATCGAGACATTCTAGTTAAAAGTCTACAAAGATCATCAAGTAGGTGTTTTGACGGCCATAATAAAGCCTGACCACCTGCCTACGTGTCATAGCCAGAGTATCTTGAAGGGATCTCTGTGAAGGAAAGTGAGGATCAGAAGAACAACATCCTTGCAGCCCTCACAATCGGGAAGCTGAGAGGCCATCGCACGGTTGAAGAAAAATGAGGATTTCAGGAATAATGTGTTTTATTGTGTCTTAGTATTTTTATGATTTTTCAGGAAGGTAGGAGTACAGACATACCGAATTGCGATAGTTGCATTAAGACTACTAAAACAGGTAACCAAATATCCCAAACTTTCATCTGGCACTCACAGTATGAATGTAAGGGATCTGTATCTAAATGTAGATATTTGGATATTGATTATAGTGTGTGCAAGCCAATATCAGGAGAGTCTAAATGTTTTGATCCCCATTTCCAACCCCGTACAATTTGGTTGGTAATTCGGAATAGTAACTCCCAGGGGACATTACTAAATAGGACTGTGATAAGCACCATACATTCCGCGGGTATTCTACTATTTGATGCATGTAAGGCGATTTCGGGTAGTGGAAGACTTTGGAATGTATGTGGTAATCTTAAATGGGAACGAACTTATGGGTTTAATGATAAATACTTATGTCCCAGTAAAAGATCTACTGATCCTGATTGCCCAAATAGAGACTAACTTCTGCCCCTATTGGTCATGTGTAGGTTGGGCAACCTGGGAAAAACAGTGGATCAAGATATGATTATCCAAAGGTTGCCTACCACACCATACTGTAAAACTATGTGTGCAACCCCGTTCACATGACCATTTCCAATCTGCAGTACTTTATTGACAGGTTTGGAGGTCTGTTTGGGTTCAAATATATGGCACAGGAGTAGATTCAGGAACAATAATATATGTAGGTCTTGAAACTGAGACAGTGGCAACTCAAACTCATCAGGTTTCTCATTCCTTCTATGAGGAGATGAGTATTGAGGATAAAATTCCCCATAATGTTAACAACCTATTTATTGATTTGGCTGAGGGTATTGCAGGTAGTCTTAATGTAACTAATTGCTATGTGTGTGGAGGTACTAATATGGGAGACCAGTGGCCATGGGAGGCAAAGGAAATATGGTACCCTGGCTCTGAGACATATGAACAACAGATACCTTTCCAGTCTGATCATCAAGTAAGTACTAGAAGTAAATTGGAATGGTGGTTAAAAACCTCCATTATAGGTCATGTTTGTATAGCCAGGAAAGGGACAATGTATAACACGTCTGTAGGTGAGCTAACGTGCTTGGGACAAAAAGCCTATAATGTTAATACTAAAAATACTACTTGGTGGTCAGCTTCAAATGTCTCAGAACCATCTAACCCGTTTGCAAGATATGCCAATTTAAAGGACGTATGGTTTGATCTATCCATCACATCTAACTGGAGAGCCCCAGCGAATTTGTACTGGATCTGTGGTAAGAAGGCCTATTCGGAGTTACCACAAGATTGGGAAGGGGCATGTGTATTAGGTATGCCAAAGCCATCTTTCTTCCTGTTGCCTATTGAAACAGGTGAGACTTTAGGTGTTAAAGTGTATGATGTGAATCATAGGAAGAAAAGGGGACCCATAGAGATAGGTGCCTGGGAAGATAATGAATGGCCTCCCCAGCGTATTATAGATTATTATGGGCCAGCCACGTGGGCAGAGGATGGTACCTTTGGTTATAGAACCCCTATTTATATGCTCAACCGCATTATAAGGTTACAGGCGGTGGTTGAGATCATTACTAACGAGACATCACAAGCGCTCAATCTTCTAGCGAAGCATAATACCAGGATGAGGACAGCAGTTTACCAAAATAGATTAGCCTTGGATTATCTTTTGGCAGTAGAGGGAGGTGTATGTGGGAAGTTTAACCTGAGCAATTGCTGTCTTCAAATAGATGACGAAGGGCAAGCAATAGCTGAACTTACAAGCCACATGGTTAAACTAGCGCATGTGCCTACTCAGGTATGGAAAGGGTACAATCCAAGTAGTTGGTTTGGTAGCTGGTATGAGTGGTTTGGAGGGCTTAAGGCAGTGGTAGGTGGAGTCCTACTGATTTTAATGTTGTGTCTACTCCTGCCGTGTCTTATACCCTTAGTAGTTAGGTCTGTGCAAAGCCTGATAGAAAATATAGCAGAGAGGAAGGCTGCTGCACAGATAATGGCAATTTATAAATATAAGGCTCTAGATCAGGGAGAACCAATGCAGGAAGACGAGTGTTGAAGATTCACATCATAGGATAAGTCTGGTCTGGTTCAAAGGTAACTTGTGGTGTATGCAAACCAAGGTTAAGTGATGCCTCAAGTAATTGTAAAATATCAAGAGGCATCAAAGGGGGGAATGTGATGGGATTCCAGCATGGTTAAAATTTAGTAGGCCAAAATCTCCATGTGGCATATGTGTATGTTGTGTCAGTTGGTTAGCTACATGTAGCTAGGATACTGTCATCAGTGTACTGAGCATGTGCAGGAATGCAGGAACTGAAATTGCACTTATTTCCTTTGTCTTGGATGGGCCATGTGGTTTGACTAGATGTACAAGTCTATATTCTGCTCATTGATTGGTTAAAGGTATATGTGGGTGTAGCTATTAATGGGAGGAGTTATGTGCCTATATAGGGAGCCTGCACTATTGTTCAGGGCTCAGAACTTGCTGTATTTTTGGTGACATTAGTCCCTCTGAGTCCCGATCGGTGATCCAATAAAGAATCTCCTCCTTCCTGAAGAAACCTGTGTCCATCTCTCTGTACTTTGCTTCCGTCAGTTTCTCCGGTATCAAAACTATGTCTCTTCTGTGTTCTGATGCACATACATTCTTCCTTAGATTACTGGTGCCTCATTATGACATGGAACCCTTTCATTGGTGTCCTTTTTTAATGGCAGTCTCAGTGGCGCTTTTTGATGATGTATACAAACTTGTGACATCATGGTCCTCTGTAACTAACCAATCACAACCCAGTATAGGGAACATATACTTCTTGGTTGTCCTTGTTTCGTTACCCTGTCGTGATTCTTGTTACCTAAGAGTGTGTTTATACTGTGTATTGGATTAACTGTTTTCTGACCTTGGTTTGTTTGACTATTCTTGCTCTCTGTTAGCCTGACTATCGATTCTGTGTATCTCAGTTATACTAGACCTTGGCCTGTCTCTCATTTCTTCTTTGTCTGCTTGCAGACATTATATTTGTTTGTCTCAGGCACAAGCCTTGCCGCTCTAATGACTGGTAAATGTTCTTTTATTGTTTCGTTGAGGTTTGCGTGTTAGTGTATCATCTTCCTGACATTACGATAGGGCCATGCAAACCTAGGGTAACAGATTGCTTGTGCAATGCACAAATGGAAGATATGGATAACAGGATGCAAGGACGCAAGCGCTGCAAACCATCCTCACTAGAGTGGTGTATCTTCACTCAGAGATCAATCTCAGGTGGGAGTCCAGGTTCCTTTCCGTCCTGTTTTCTCTTCTGCTCCTGTTACAATCGTGATACAGCTCTGTGCAGAGGGCTCCTTAAAGGAAAACTATAGTCACCTAAATTACTTTAGCTAAATAAAGCAGTTTTAGTGTATAGATAATTCCCCTGCAATTTCACTGCTCAATTCACTGTCATTTAGAAGTTAAATCACTTTGTTTCTGTTTATGCAGGCCTAGCCACACCTCCCCTGGCTATGATTCACAGAGCCTGCATTGAAAAAAAACTGGTTTCACTTTCAAGCAGATGTAATTTACCTTAAATAGTTGTATCTCAATCTCTAAATTGAACTTTAATCACATACAGGAGGCTCTTGCAGGGTCTAGCAAGCTATTAACATAGCAGGGGATAAGAAAATCTTAATTAAACAGAACTCGCAATAAAGAAAGCCTAAATAGAGCTCTCTTTACACAAAGTGTTTATGGAAGGCTGTGCAAGTCACATGCAGGGAGGTGTGACTAGGGTTTATAAACAAAGGGATTTAACTCCTAAATGGCAGAGGATTGAGCAGTGAGGCTGCAGGAGCATGTTCTATAAACCAAAACTGCTTCATTAAGCTAAAGTTGTTCAGGTGACTATAGTGTCCCTTTAATCATGTAGGGTACATTTCGAGATGCTTTCCCAGATATTTCTGGAACTCATCTCTTCACCATTCTCCCCTGTTGTTCTGGGTTTTCCTTGGCTCTACCGGCACAACCCTTCTATTGATTGGATTACTGAACAAATAGCCTGGGGCCTCTCTTGTCAGGGGAAAATGCCTGTGTATGGTCAAACTTGTAAGAATTATAAACATTCCTACTGCTCCTCTCCTTTCTATTGTTGTACCTTCTCAATACTGTGATTTGAAAAAGGTATTTGATAAGGGTGAAGCAGACAGTCTTCCATCTCATAGACCCTATGATTGTTCCATAAACATACTGCCTGGTACTATGCCACCTAGGGGTAGGGTTTATCCTCTCTCTCTGAAGAAGAATCTAGTCATGGAAGAGTACATCCAGGAGGCACTTCAAAAGGGTATTATTAGACAGTCTTCACTTGGAGGTGCACGATTTTTCTTTGTATCCAAAAAGGAAGGTGATCGAAGACCCTGCATAGACTACTGAGGTATAATACAAAATAATTGTTAAAAACACGTATCCAATTCCACTAACTCTTTGACCGTCTTCAGTGTTCTTTATGGTTTACTAAACTACAATCTGGTTAGGATCAAGGAAGGTAATGAGTGGAAAACTGCATCTAATACCCTTAATGGTCATTATGAGAACCTGGTCATGCGATTTGGGTTATGTAATGCACGTGCAGTGTTCGAAGATATGGTCAATGATATCTTAAGAGAGTACCTTAACAGTTTTGTAATTGTTTATCTCAACGACATCATACAGTCACCTGATCTTGAAACACACCACATTCAGGAACGTACTGTTCTTCGAACACTCCTTGAGAAAGGTCTGTATTGCAAACTTGATAAGTGTTTATTCGAGCAGACTAGTGTACACTTCTTATGTTATGTTATTTCTGGTGAAGGGTTTCAAATGGACCCAAAGAAGTTGAAAGCATTGTTAGAATGCCCGCAGCCAGTGGGAAACAGGGCTATCCAAAGATTTGTGGGTTTTGCCAACTATCATGAAAGGTTCATTCAGGGATTCTCTATGATAATAGATCATATCACCAACATGAGCAAGAACAGCGTTAATACCAACCAATAGTCTAAGGAGGCCAAGCAAGCTTTTGAGTCGTTGAATAAAGCATTTCCCTCTGCTTCTGTGCTAGTTCTCCCTGATCCTCTTTGTTTTATGAGATGTAGAGTCTCTTCTACATTCTTGTGGGGTTGTTTCGAGGTAATTGACACAAACAGAAAGGAACTGAGACATAGGGAAAATAGAGTTGTTGACTATTATTCTTTGGCTATTATCATGCCCTGAAATAATGGCAACACCTCCTAGAGGGAAAATTAAGTCTCTTCTGTGTTCTGATGCACACTTAATCATCCCAAGTTTGATGGTGCTTCATTATGACATATTACATGGATTTTGGATATAGCAAGAACTTTGCATCTCTGTAAAGTAGAAGCTGGATCTCCTCTTCTAGAAACAACTGGAATTATGAAAAATCAGATTTTCTGAAATTAGCAGTTCTCAAAATATATGCTCTCCGATACCTTGCCTCATCAAATATTGCGTCATCTTATTCTGATCTGTAATAGTTATGAGAACAATTCCCAATTGAGGTGGAACTCTATAACTAACTTGGGCAACAATTCTTGAACTTGGTGGAGGATAACTGTGTGGATGAAATCTACAGGGTGATTAACTTTATGGACAAAATCCACATAGGGGAATAAACTAAGGATATGCTACAATAATGGAAACAGAGTGGCTGTGCGTATAGAATTGTAGGAATAAATCCACATTTGTGCACACAAATATACATTTAACCTAGAGTGTGCAATTCCTTTTAAGTATCTTTGAACTTTTATTCGTTTACGTTGAGTTACAAAAGTCAACAGAAGTGTATAAATGAAGTTAAATAGGCTTTGTTCTCACCATGGGACAACAAACTCCTTATTTGTTCCATTTCTTTTTTCTTTTCCAATTGGAGCAAGTGCCAGCATTGTCTAGAAAAACTCATATGATGGATCCCAGAGTCTACGAGGCATATACATTTTGATTAAGGTAGCCAATGGACAGATTCATGTCAATTTGTAAAACTTTTTTTTTTTTTTTTTTTTTATTAAAGGCAAAAATTCAAGCACTTTCATAAAACGTTTATATAAATAATTAATGGATTCTCTGGGATGATACCATGGTAGAAGAAAAAGATTTCAGCTGTCTAAACTTTCCTCTGTCACATCTACAGTTTCAAATGAATCTGGCTGCACATCATCAGCAGACTGATTAAGCTCCTCTTCTTCTCCTGTCACATCCTGCGACTGAGATTCCCCTTCCTCCTCCTCACCTTCTCCGTCATCTTCCACATCCATCTCAAACACGCGAACATGGCGCAAGTTGGAACTGAGCTGGAGAGTAAAAAGTTAACAATTTAATACACACAACTCGACAGACTCAAGCAGCCATGATGCTGAATTTGGAGATGCCCATTATCCCTCTTATAATTACCAAACCAGAGAAATACCAATTCCACCTCCCAATCTGCAAGAGTAGAGACCTTTTACTAAAATAAGCCTCTTCTTGCAATTCCAAGCAGCAAGAGGTTAATTAGCATCTGCTGGTATCTGCTGTACCAAAACCAGACTGGACTGACACAATGACAGGACCACATCAATGTTATGTTTAAGTTACATTTTCTTTTTTAAATTAGCTTTATTGTTATTTAAATATTGTGGCTATCCAGACACTTACCACACATGCTATCTTCCGGATACCATTTACAGAGACGTATTGTGCCTTCATGTTCTCAAGTGTCCTGCACTGATTCTCCAAGTATACAGTACGTGTTGGTATGTCTGAACATTGTTCTTCCAGCCTGGCAGGTAAAAAAGGAAAACATAAGTCATATGACTAGAATCTACTGATTGATAAGTTCTAGTAGCAGTATATGCATGTAATAATTTTCAAGGAGGATGGATGGCCAAAATGTAGACCACCAATGTTTGGGGAAACAGCTCTTATGGTACTTTGCCAATCTTTAAGACAAGTGGATATCTATTTTTTGCCATGCTTGGAATGAATGAAATCTGTTCCTTTTCACACTCGGGAAGTCTGTTCTTTTGCCATTCAGGCTTGCAGTTATGCACAATTTCATTTATTTGGATTATTATTATTTTTTATCAGCAAATTCTAAAGGATACAATCCCATGTATTTGCAAACATTTCTGCAAGAAAGAATTTATTTACCTCCCAAAAAGCCCTGGGTTTGGTGGGGCCATCTCAAATGTAGGTTTCTGTCTTAACATCCTATGTTTGTTCTGATTTCACCAATAAGTGCATTAAAACACACACTAGTGTGGCATGCCCCAATTTTTGGGAGAACCCACTGTCTCTTCACCAATGACGAATCTTGTGTCACTCACATTCCCCCCACATCCCAGCCTCCATATACACACTCATAGGCTTAATAGAACATAGGAAACATTCTGAGATGGACGTGGTACTGTATGGCAATACGTTAATGCAACTTTTATCATTTTTAAATTGAAATAAAAAATAGGCAACAACAAAAAGTGACTGTGTAAACACTGTGTGTGAAAAACAGGTTTTAGAGTATGGGTTATATGTACAATATTAGCAGTCTGAAATCTGGCCACTAGGTGTCATTTTATTGGACAAATTATCATCATCAAAATTTATATAGCACCATATTACATGACACTTTACAATTATAGAATGGGGATATCGGACAAAAAAGTATTCGATATACAACATTTTAATGGAGACAATTGGTGAAAAAGGCCCTGCTTAAATGAGTTTACGATCTTTAGAGCACTACGGAAAAGTTATTTTAAAAATGTTTAGCTCAGGGTTATTGCCACAGTGTTAGTTGTGGAACAAATGGAATACATTAGAAACCATTAATACTTTGCAGAATGCTTAAAAGCTTTGAGTTAATAGCTTTAGTTTTATTTTTCCCCAAACAAATTAATTGATAACAGAGCTGGGACACTGGTAGAACATAGGCCAGAACATTTTGGAGCTCAGATAATCTTTATCAGTCTGCTATAGGTTACAGATCGAAATAAAAATTTGTTCTAGAGTTTTGTCCAGTACAACAATGACACCCAGTGGTCAAATATGAGACTGACAAACACTTTCTATTTATTGAATTAGACTACATTTCCACACAAACAGTGTTTTTTTAACTAAAGTGATAATTTAATGCAAAGTGAATTTCAAACATAATGGTAGAATAGCTGTAAAATATCCTAAAATTTGGTTATCTTGGTCTAAAATTAAAAATTCACAGAAATTCTCCTTTTAGTAAATAACCCTGACAGTGTTCACACTCCTGTTTAGGCTTTCTCAGATACCCACTATTACCCATGACCTTGCTTTTCCATGTATGCATAATTCACTAAATAGCATCCTCATGGGCTTTATTTTCGCTCTTTGCCATGCTGCTTGGGAGCATTTCAAACTGTTGATTTAAAGTTACCTTTTACATGCATGTCTGGTAAACTGGTCTTGGGTTTCTTCATTAGAATAGATCATAGACAATGGCAATTGGGCCAATATCCTATCCTTCCCCTCCTGTTCCAAGTCATCTCTCATCACCACAGTCAACAGGTCCTCATCGTAAAATCGTGCATCTAGACAACTGTACCGGCTGAAAGTGAAGAGATCAAGCTGGATTAGACATTGTAGGACTAGAAGGCCAATCAAATCAATGTTCATAAACAATCTATGAATGATACTGTATCAAGGTTGTTAAAATCATTAACCCTTTTGGTACAGGAGAAACATGGCGTTCCCTCTTTGAATACCAAGAAAATAAAACGCTGAATTGAACAGAAAGAAAACTACAAACCTGCATAACCTGTCTTAGTACCCATTGTGGCTTATTAATAATAATTTCTAAGTGATATTAGGAGGTTGCATGGAAGTTATGCTTGATTAAAAATGTTTTTCTACTTGCAGGACAATGTAGTGAAAAGACGAGCGTATTGAGAAAAAAAAAACAGCCAAGTTGATGCAGGTTTTTTTTTTACTTGGCTATTTTTGTCTAAAATCTGGCTGATGATTAAGAGTGTCCCCGTTTTAAACATTTGCGTTCTTTTTTGTCATCTTTGATCCTTTTGCTGAATCTAATTTTCTTTATTAAATTATGTGGAATAAATGTTTTTCAAAATTTTAATGCAACCCATTTTGTTGTTTCTATAAGATGAGCATGTGAACGCGCCCTCCCCAGCTGCTCTTATTAAATTATTACTTCAAGCATCATAACCATTTTACTGATTTAAAGTGGTCCTGGTGCCCAGGTTCTGCGTGTGCAGCATTTCACTATGAACAAGGCACACACAGAGATTAACCCTCTGATGCCAGAGTTGTACTTCCATCGGGGCGTCATTAGCCAGCACAAAACAAGAGTACCGGGCTGGTTAATGTAAGTTATGTTCATGTTAGGCATCTGTTCTCAGCATGCACAGCATTGGCGGCGCAGCGAGGAGTAACGTCAGCTGAGGAGGATTGGGCTGGGACAGAACATTGCCTAAGTGGAGAGGAGTTTTAGCTATTTTTTTAGGGAGGTAGCATAGGAAATAGTAATCTCACTAAAAACAGAGTTTTTCCTTTAAACGTTGTTTGGTTTGAATAACCATTGAAGCGCCAACTAATGTAGGAGATCCCATCTCATGGTAAACACAGTGTAGTGTAAGATCTTCCCTTTCTATATTGTTTGGACTTGCAACTGCAATTAGTTTTGAATGACGCAATCTATTGCAGGTTAGGGTATAGCATAGGGTAATTTTATGAATAGATTTTTTTTTTTATAGTATCTAGATTAAGATGCAGCACGCCCCAGATTGTTTTGTACAGGAACATTCACCTTGACTCTTCATTATCCGCAGTGCTGCAGCTTAGGAAATTTCCAAATTCGATAGCCAAAAGATCATCACTTGTAGATCTAACATAAATAAACATATTATTCAGACAACATTTACATAAACCTTATGATCTATACTGTTCCCAAAAAAACAACGTGGTGTTCACGGAGGTGATCAGGTACAGGAAAGTGTTTAGGTGTTCTATGGAGCAGCTGATAACAGCAGAATAGATTTAAATCCAAGAAGGGAGGTGTTGTAGGGTCGAAGGTGAATGTTGTGTAGTGCGAGGTAATTTTGTAATCAGACTGCAAAGGTATGGGATCCAGAAGGCACGTGGGAGGTGACAATGACTAAAATGAAACAATCTCATAGTATGACTTATCCTTGAATTATGCCATAAACTGTGAATGATTAGGTAGTTAAAGGTGATAGCAATGAATAGGAGGAATTAAAGATGAAAAATGCACAATTTTCTTTGGTGCAGTGAATGCAGCACTTTCACCCTAGTGAATGTTTCCTAATTTATTCCCAAAACCCACTCTATGCCACCCTCGCGGTAAAGTAAGTTCACAAATTTTCCATGTAAAAACATCAACGGATTTTTAATAGATGTCTATCCTTCTATAGGAAAGCCTTGCCGCACCTGCTTGCATTTATAGACTAAAAAAGTTTAATTTATAAGAAAACCACTGACAAGACAACACAACGAATATTACTTTTTACTTATGAACTACACTTCCCATAATGCCTTGTTACACACACACACACACACCTCTGTATGGGACAAGCATAGCTCCCCCACTGATAAGAATAGGAGTAACATTATCTTTAAAATGCTTTCTTTACATTTTGGTGTATTATTGGCATACTGCATGTAAATAAAAGTAGGTCTCCTCATGTAGTATCATTTTTGTATCCTTTTTAAATGGCATTATGCCAGAGTTGTGTACACATAGGTTAGGGGTATTAAGAGTTAGTGGTTGTGGCGTACAAATGAAAGTAAAAATGGCAACAATTGTTAGAATGGCCCCTGTGGTCATTTGTTCATTTAGCTTCTTACTTTGTCACATCTGTTGGCTGTCTAAAAATGAAGAATTTAGACGGGGAGCTCTCCAGCATGTGGAATATAAGATAGTGTAGATTCTGGGTCTTGTCATTCCAGCTGAAAGAGTACAATGAATAAGAAGATGAGACTTGTAAAACGTCATGGCAAGAATCACAGTCCCCCCTCACCCCCTTTAAGAACATTTCTTACAGGTATGGTAGTGAGATCAGCCTTGGACAAGATTCCTCACTGTAATGGGACAAGAAAAGGTACACATTAGACCATATGCATGCTTGTTAGTTCGTTACATACAGATTGCAGGAGTAATAGCTCACCTTTTAGCGGCTTGATATAATGAAATGCATTTCTTCTGTCGCACAGACTTTCCAATAATATCCTGTAAAATAAACAAACTACTGTTAAAGAAGAGTTGGCTGACTGCATTGTATGCACTTACTATACACAGCGTTATTCACTAAACTTGCAATTTCAGCAAATTAAATCTGAATTGCAAAACTATGTCTATAATAGTCAGACTATAAATATAGCAGAGATAGAGAATGTTCCCAGCTAAATTATTTTAGTTTCAATTTTGACATCTTTATACTAAATATTAAAGTGTAGTGATTAACATAAATGTATATTATCAACTCCAACACGTTATTTTTAATATACCGAATCCCTATTTTTTTGTGACATACTAGGACCCAAAGTGAAGACCTCTGTATGGCACAGGACCAGTTTAACCACCTCATATAATTTGTTATATGACCTACTTCCATTGTTGTTATGTCATGTTCTCTACTGTACTGTATTCATCTTGGACGTCACTTTCTTGATAGTTAAATAAAAATGGTTAAAAATAAATAAGGTAACCTACTGCTGGCTTTGAGAGACATTGGTCGATGATGCCTTCCATTTGCCTTTTAACAAAGTGCAATGATTTCTCAGGATAGTAGGGGAACAGCAGGGGACTGTCTACAGAAAAAGAACAAGATACAGGAGTGTTGCTTTGCAGCACGAATGGAATTACGCCAACATAGATTGCTGTCGCACCCGGTCAGTTTTAGGGTATTTTAATAAAATCAGAAAAATCTTTAACATTTGCATATTTTCAGATAATTTTAATATGTACAGATAAGACTTGAATAAATAATATACAACAGTAAACAATGTATTATGAGGAAATGCCATTGAGGAGTTATAGATCCATCATAATAAGCCACAAGGCTGAAAGTTGAGATGTATGTTTTACGATGCGTGATACTTTTAGATTGGGGTTAAGGTATTGTAGGGGTTAATGCTAGCATTCTGTAGGAGTTAATGTTTAGTGTTGGTGTATGTTTCGGGCTAATGTAATGTGTTTGAGTAATGCCAGGGTTAGTATATTGTGCTGTGTTAGGGAAGTGTAGGGTTAACGTGTAATGTAATGAGCTAGGGTATGGTTATGGGTACGTTTTACTGTATAGGCATAATTGTTACCTACTTATCCCAGTGCTGTCTAAGATTAGTGGGGGTTACAGATCCAAGCAGCAGCTAGCCCAATCATGTCATGGTGGCAGGTACCACTCGGGAGTGTAAATCACACTAATCTTGAAATATATATGTCCTGCTGTGCCTCACATTAGGACCCCAGACTGCATGGAGGTGATCTGTATATTATTATGACATGGATTAAGGTGATTGAAGACATGATCTGCCCAACAAAACCTCCAACAGTGTTACAACTTTCCTACCTAGTTCTATATTCTGTTTACCTCGCTGCTGGCAATTTAAACCAATCATGTGCTTCGAACTGTATGGAGATAAGGTTACCATCACTACCACTTATATTATTATTTTATTATTTATATAGCGCCAGCAAATTCCGTAGCGCTGTACAATGGGTGGACTAACAGACAAGTAATTGTAACAAGACAAGTTGGACACACAGGAACAGAGGGGTTGAGGGCCCTGCTCAATGAACTTACATGCTAGAGGGAGTGGGGTATAGTGACACAATGGTAAAAGTAGGGGTAACAAAGTAGGTTACTAAAAAAAGTATTCACTTAGGGCTTATTTTGACAATTGCAGGAGCGGAGTCAGGGTGTGAGGAGGAAAAGCTGTTAACAGCCTAATTGATAAGCTTTCCTGAACAAGTGAGTTTTCAATTTTTTTTAATGAATAGAGACTGGGTGAAAGTCTAACTGGGAAGGGCGTTTCACAGAAAAGTTCTCAACATATTCTGGAGAATTTACAGTTATACAGTGGAGATGTATAGCAGTAAGTCATTTACAGATCCAATAAAGTTGACAGATACAAGAGGTGAAGAGGGTCCTGTTCTGATGATCTTACAATGTAGGAGGAGATACCCCATGGCTACTTTCTAATCATTGGAAATTACCACTGTAATCTGATGTCCTGCCTAGCGACACTATTACAACATATATATCATACCTTTCAGGTGTGTGCTGCTATGGAGAAAGTTAAACCACTGGTTCCCTTCTGTGCTGGGTGGTGACATCAGGCTGTCATCTTCATCTTTCAAATACTGAGCGATAAAAACACAAGCATGAAACACAAAGCATGCGGACTAGCTGGCAAATGCAATGTCAGTATCTGTAGAAATTTTTTTTTTTTTAATAAATAATCCCCCCACAATCATTTCTTGAACATGGACTATTCTTAGCTTGGGAAAGATTTAGTTATCTGAATGTCTTCATTATTGGCCAGGGTCCATATACCAACTACATTTGTAACGTTTAATGAACCTTTACAAAACATCCTTTATTATTGTTTAGTTGTGGCCAATATGCTTGAAGACAGTGACATTGGTGGTTGTTGCCACATTACGTGGCATCATTAAAGGCTTATAATAGGTAAGTATCTGGAAACTAGCATTACATATATATCTCTATATATCTATATATCTATCAACCACATCGCATATTAATAGTGCAGACAGGACCAGCGAGAGCCCAAATCAAACATAAGGCGGGAGACTGCTACAACAAAAGGTTGGATTGAAGCAGTGGACAATAAATCTACCAAGTAAGAGGGAACCTAGTTAGGGCACAATCTTTCAAAAAGCATATACGACTGAGGTTACACCACAGTGTTTGCCAAATGGACTCTACCCCTGTAGCTGACTCGCAGAAACAGGAAGAACCTGGCAAGGTTAATAAACATCTCAGAATGCTTGTGCTCTTTACGTCCCAATTCTGTTCGCCTCAAGACATATGGGCCTAGCCAAATACATTTTTATTAAAGCTCTATTAATCAATTTAGTTAGAGTAAATGCAAATTATAGTGAAGTGAAAACCAAATGGCTGTAGTTACCGTTGGACTATTGTAGTCTTAATGTAGCATGTTTCAGTTTTCTACAATTTGCCTTTCAGAAACTATTCTCCAATGTAATTATCATTTAGCAATGAAGTTTATACAGCTGCAATTTTAATTTTTTTTGCTGACCTGACGACGGCTTCTCCAATCTACTTTCATATTACACAACCACACTCACCCTCTGTGCCTAGACAGCTTTATGGTCTTTGTGTAAATTTGTTCAGGCACAAAAAGTGTGAAAATATTTTCAATGAAGAAGGAGCGCAGACAGGAATTCAACTTGGATATTTCAACTTGTAATTACACAATTAAACAATGGAAAATGAGATCAAGTACCAGGCCATAATGAGACTGTTATCATAAAGGGTGCACTTGGCAATAGGAGACGTAATTGCCAGAGTGTATGTACCCCTTATGAACATATTTAAAAGCCTACTTTGGCCCACTTCTCATTCTCAGGCAATATACCATGAAAATACATTACACAAGGTGTTACAAGCAATTTGTAACAAGAAGAACGCACGGAGTGAAATACTAGAAAACATATTGTACTGGGGAAATTATAATAACATTACAGTAACTTGTCATGAGAACAGGGATAAGAGGAATAGGTAGTCAGGTCTAGTGGTGATGGCTTAAAATGAAGTAATTTGCAAGAATAATTATGAGAATACAAACTGTAAGGAACATATACTATTAAAAAAAAAAAGCAAACAAACAAACTACTTTAAGCAGATGATCAGCTCTGTTTATTAGTTGTGGGTTAAGCTGATCTAGCCAAATAAAGGTGTTACTATGTCATTCAGGGTATTTTCCCTGCATAACTTCACGTAAGGCTTTACATTACAGCTAACATCGACACAGTGTTGCTGTATGCAGCAATAAATACAGCAAATAATAAAAAAAAAAGAAACAAGTTAGAATCTGTCAGTCATTGAGAGTTAACCTTTTCAAGGCCTGGAAATTTGGAATTCCTTAACCCTTTTTGCCCTACAGGTCCAGGAGACTTTGCATCTATTGGCTATTGAAGGGTTACTCCAAGCACCATGACCACTTCTGTGATATGAAAAACTGCACATACACAAATAAAGTCCTTTGCTAGCCTATATTTATCTCCACCCCCAGCATCAAAATAAGAACGACATTGGCTAATGTCAGATCTGTGCTAAATAATGCACTACCAGTGGTACAGCGATACGTATTATTGTACAATTTCTTTAAATTATTTAGAATTTTTCATTTTTAAATAGTATTGGGTAATTAATATCACTTGTGTATTTCCCCATTTTCTTGTTTGTTTGAAATTATTATTAATATTATCGTTTGGTGATATTTTTGTATTTAAAACTTTCAATAAAACTTTTGAAAAGATCTCTGCACATGGGATATAACATAGTAACCAAAGGGCCAGGAGACTGGGCATTTCTTATTAAATTATCCTTTACCCAACAGTCCATCATACAGAAGAAAGTAGAATTACCATCTTCGGGAACCAACCCATTATGCAAAGAGGGGACAGACTGATAAAAGGCTTTTTTAAAGTTATTTGTTATCAAAGTGATCTGATTCTTAAAATGTTGCATGCTGGAGACTCACAGACTCCAGCATGTTTTAATCTATCATTTCAGTGTCACTTTACGTTGCACAGGAAAAAAAAATAAAAAAGGAGGACATCGTGCTGCTCTCTGCTACTGCACAGAAGGAAGTCATTAGACAAGGGCCGGGATGCCCAAGTGGTAGATCACCAGATGTTGTAAAACTACCACTCCCATGACGCTTAGCATGCCTTTAGAATGTCAAAACATCATGGAAGTTGTAGTTTACAACATCTGGAGATCTACCTTTTGGGCACCCCTGGACTATGGTCACCAGGTGCAGTATATATCAGCCTGTAAAACCGCAATGCCATTTAGTAAATAGCAAATGGCGATGCACTTTCTGTGGTTTCCTATGAAGTGATTTCACTCTACCTGAACCTTTTATTAATTAACATCAGGACAAAGTTATGCCAATGACGAAGTAATATTTTTGGGGCAACGTAACTTGCAAATGCATTTCCTGGTTTAGACGATAAACCCTATGGAAGCTTGTATACATTTGTTATATACGGATTTTAGAGCTACTACAACTACCATATGCATGCACCCTAAACTACTTATACAGAAATAGTTGGAGTTTGAAAAAAAACAAAAAAACATATTGCTGACTTTTCAAGGCAGGAATAGTTTACATAATTTAAGTGGCAAATTAAGAAGGTTAAAGGGAAACTCCAGTGCCAGGAAAACAACCTGTTTTCCTGGCACTGCAGGTCCCCTCTCCCTCCCACCCCCTAATCCCTGGTTGCTGAAGGGGTGAAAACCCCTTCAGTAACTTACCAGAGGCAGCGACATGTCCCACGTCGCTGCTTCTTCCTCCGGCGCTCCTCCTCTGCATTACGTCGGCCAGTGGGCGAGACTGATCCCGCCCACCGGCTGGGGAGACCTAATGCACATGCACTGCAATGCCGCGCATGTGCATTAGAGCTCCCCATAGGAAAGCATTGAAAATGCTTTTCAATGCTTTCCTATGGGGAATTGAGCGATGCTGGAGGTCCTCACATAGCGTGAGGACATCCAGCGTCCAGATAATCTGTGCTATGATCCAGGAAGTGCCCTCTAGTGGCTGTCTAGTAGACAGCCACTAGAGGTGGAGTTAACCCTGCAAGGTAATTATTGCAGTTTATAAAAAAACTGCAATAATTACACTTGCAGGGTTAAGAGTAGTGGGAGTTGGCACCCAGACCACTGCAATGGGCAGAAGTGGTCTGGGTGCCTGGAGTGTCCCTTTAAATGTTCACTGACATTGTAAGGGGGCTTTTTAAAATTTATTTTTTTCATACTTATGTATTTTATGCCTTTGTGCATGTTAACAAGAGAATAAGGCTATAAAAGTTCTTCTAATGGCCTATATTTCTTTGAAACTAGATTTTATATTGCTATAATTCAGTCCAAGAGCCAAAAATATTATTATGGTGTTTATTTTCTACTGATACACCTCAGACTAAGGTCAATGTTTACTGCAGCGGGAATTACTTATATTGGATTATGCAATTACGTTAATTAAGCGTGTTCACATAAAATAGTTCTTTGATGTCTGTAAGCTTTATTTTTGTCAGTGCAGTTTGAATTGTTGGCAAAACTGATTGCTTTTCAGGACAGAGAGAGATAGATACCGCAGCTAGCCAAGAACAATAAACATAACTTTCGACTGGCTAAGCAGTTGTTTCTATCTACACATATAGACTGATCAGCCATAACATTAAAACCACGACCGGGTGAAATGAATAACTTTCATTATATTATTACAATGGCACCTGTCAAGGGGTGCAATATATTAGGCAGCAAATGGACAGTCAGTTATTGATTTTATTTGTGTTGGATGGAGGAAAAATAGGCAAGTAAAAAGGGCCAAATAGTGATGGCTAGACAACTGGATGAGAACATCTCCAAAACAGCAAGCCTTGTCGGGTGTCCCCAGTATGCAGTGGTTGTAGCTCAGATTGATCAAAAGCTTAATGCTGATCATGATGGAAAGGTGTCAGAACACACAGCGCATTGCAATTTGTTGCGTATGGGGCTGTGTAGCTGAAGACCGGTCAGAGTGCCCATCATGACCCCTGTCAACCGCTAAAAGCACCTTCAATGTGGATGTGAACATCAAAACTGGACCTGGGAGCAATGGAAGTAAGTTTCCGGGTTCTAAAAACTTGAATAAAAAGAAGTCCCATCTGCATTTTCATTAAGGAATATACAGTCTAATGGTTAGAACTACTTGGTCACTTGATTGATCAGAAAATGTACACTTAGAAATCTAAGTGAAAACCTCACAAAGTATCCCTACAATCACTAGCATTAACTGAAACATGTCTCTCTCCCTCTGACACTGCTACCCCTGCCTCTTTATCCTTTGGTGGTCTTCAATTTTCCCACAACCCAAGAAACTCTGAAAATAAAGGTGGTGGTGTATGGTTTCTGCTCTCCATTTCCTCTCTCAGATCATCATTTCCTGTCATTTACTCTCAATGGCCCCAACAACCTCAGCCTAACTCCCCTCAACTCAGAAGGAATCTGAGTTCTATAAATCTCCAGCAGCTGTCAGCTGATATCGATTACCAACTATTATCCATTCCTGCTTACTCATGACCCTCACTGGCTATCTCCTCATATAACTATACCCTCATCTCAGCCCTTGACGCACCTCGTCTCAGGCCCAAATACGCACCTCGCGGAGAATACGCCCCTCTTTCTTCTGGCACTGTTCCTGCTGTCCTTAAACATGCTACTGTAGTACCCATCTTAACCCCTTAAGGACACGTGACATGTCATGATTCCCTTTTATTCCAGAAGTTTGGTCCTTAAGGGGGTTAAAAAAAAAAAACATGTCTCGACCTATCCTCCAATTCTAATTATCGTCCTATATCCCTGCTCCCTTTTTTCCTCAAAGCTTCTTGAAAGACTACTTTTTACCCATCTGGCCTGCCTCCTCAATTCCAACTCTCTCCTTGACCCTCTTCAGTCCAGCTTCCGCCCCCTCCACTCTACTGAGACTGCCCTTATCAAAGTCACTCAACATTATCGCAGCTAAATACAGGTCACTACTCCATACTAATTCTTCTTGACCTCTCTGCTGCTTTTGACATCGTTGATCATGTTCTCCTTCTCCAAACTCTTCAATCACCTTGGTATCCTTCTATTTGCTCTTTACACTGCCTCTCTTGGCAAACTTATTACCTCTTTTGGATTCCAATACCACCTGTAAGCAGATGACACCCAGATATATCTCTCCTCCCTGGACCTCTCCCCTGATGTCCTGCAACGTGTCACCTCTTGCCTTTCTTCTATCTCTGATTGGATGTCCTCCCGCTTTCTGAAACTGAATCTTTCCAAAACAGAACTTCTTGTCTTTCCTCCTCCTAATATTAATCCTCCTCTCTTGCTCTGCCTTCAGATTGGTGGTACCCGTATCAGCCCATCCTTACAAGCACATTGTCTTGGTGTTACTTTTGATTCTGGCCTAACCTTTGAGCCTTCCGCTTAAAAACATCGCCCGCATCCGCCCCTTTCTTACACAAGATGCTACTAAAGAGCTTGTCCATGCTCTAGTAATCTCTCGCATGGACCATTGTAACTCTCTCCTAATTGGTCTTCCCAATAGCCGTATTGCTCCGCTACAGTCTGTAACGAATGCTGCCGCTAGACTGGTTTTCCTTTCTAGTCGGTCCTCCCACACCTCACCCCTCTGTCAGTCCTTACATTGGCTTCCTGTATCCTATAGGAGTCAATTCAAAGTACTAACCCATACTTATAAAGCACTGAATAATAGTATCCCCTCTTATATCTCCTCACAGATCCATAGGTATGCCTCTTCTCGTTCTCTCCGCTCTGCCCGTGACCTTCTTCTGTCCGCTGCTCGTACCCGTACGGCCAACTCGTGCTTGCAGGACTTCTCGCGGGCAGCTCCCTTACTATGGAATAGCCTGCCTACCGCCATCAGACTCTCCCCTAGTCTTTAATCGTTTAAGAAGTGCCTTAAAACCCATTTCTTTAGGAAAGCCTATGGCCTCCCAGACTAACCTCTACCTCACATACCTGTCTCTTGGTCTCTCCTAAAGGGCAGCACTCTACTCTCTCCTCCAGCTCTGCTTCACTCCCACATAATTTGATTGCCCTTTCCTGTCCTAATGTGATTTATACCCCACCTCCTATAGACTGTAAGCTTGTTTGAGCAGGGCCCTCTTCAAACTATCGTTTTCTTGTAATTGTCCTATTTATAGTTAAATCCCCCCTCTAATAATATTGTAAAGCGCTACGGAATCTGTTGGCGCTATATAAATGGCAATAATAATAATAATAATATCCCAGGTGGAGATTATACCACCTATGCTGATTACACTGAGCGGGTTATCTGCTCAGTTAAATGTGAGTATAACCTATTTATTTTTACTCCTAATTTTACATTTTTATATAGAGAGCACTATTGTTGCGCTTTTTTATTTTCACATATCCTGCTGTTGAGACATCCGCTGATTAATATCTTCCATCAATATCCCTGAAGTGGGGGATCATAACCACTGCAAGCGCTTTATACTAGAGCTGGTTTTAGCTCTATTCCATGTGAGTAGGTCATTTGGACTTCTTTTTATTCAAGTTTTTACCTTATTCTGTACATATTGCATCATTGGAGTTCTTTTCTTCTCTCTTTTATGTTCCTGGATTTTGAACATCTGGAAGGTACACTAACCTAAAGATACAGGCAAACCCTTACAGACTTATCCATATTATTGTATTTTATCTTGGACTTTGTGCTTGTTCCTTTTAGATACACAACCTTTTACTACCATAGGTCAATGTGTATTCCGTTTCATTTTATTAGTTTTATCTGTGATCATTCTTGTCCCCAGTCCCTTGGCGCACCCTATTGTTTTGTATTTCTAGCAATGTAAACACCGCCTTTTCACTGAAAAGGCTACAGGAGCAGGCTATAGGCACCAGAACCACTACATTAAGCTGTAGTGGTTCTGGTAACTATAGTGTCCCTTTAAAAACCAAAAAAAAAAAAACTGGCTAGTAACTTTTTAGCTGGCTCCTAGATTCCAAACAAATTTGTCAAGCCCTGCTCTACCGTATCCTATACGTGGGGATTATACCACTGAAGCCCAATACACTAGAGCTGGTCATAGGTCTACAAATTGTAAGTAACCAATTGTTATCTTATTTTATCCACCTTGGTTACATTACTTTATTGCACCATTTTTGTGTTTTCTGCTTCTTGGCATTTTACATTCTGCTATACACCAAGGGATTTTAAGAGTTTGTATACTTCTGAAGGACTGCTTCCGCCTCATCTAGAATTTTATCACTTGACCTTATCTGTTACCTTAAAGGGTATCATCCATCTAAGAACTATTGTTGTGGACTTTTGCTGGTATAGATATATATCTACTGATAATTTTCATTGTATGTTTTCTCATATTGTTTATTTATATTACAAGTAGCACAAAAATATTGTAGCGGAGCCCAAGCTTCTGTTATCTGTTTTTTTTTTGTTTTTTTTATTATTATTATTAAAATCGTTTTAAAGTCACAGAGATACGAATACTGTGGTCATAGTTATCAGGGAGCTAATACCGTTATTAACTAAAGTAATGTAAAAACTAAGAATCATGCTGATCTATTTCAGTGATGATACATTGTGGCTAGTGTAGGACAATCCTGTGGCAGAGGAAACATGTGGCTTCTACCCTATACATTATTACATTATTAACCTATAAAACACTTTTTACACACAACCATTATTTGCAGACAGAAGCTGCATACCTCTCTTGCCACAGTTGTGTCTCAAGTAAGATATATGGCGCGTTAAGTCAAGTGCAGATTAAACCTTAAAAAATGTGCGTTGGCACATATATATTTAGGTTTAATGAGAGTCTGGTTATTTTGATCTTTCTAGTAAAGAGAAGTGTGATTTCTAATAAAGTAAGCAATAAGGAAATAACATTGTTAAGGTTACTATTTACATTCCCTGAAATACAGTATATACAATTGCAAAAGATATGAATCACTGCGTTTAGAAACATTGATACTTTACCTGACCAACGCGTTCTACATTGAAATATTTGCCTTTCTGATTATACAAGTCGGGTGCCTGCAACAAAAACAGGATTACACATGAATAGTCTTGGTCTTTAAGAGGTATTTAAACTGAAGTTAGTAAATGAATGAAGTGATTGAAGAGTGAGTAATAAGGCATTTGATATAGAAAATCAGAGTGATCACTCAAACAAATCACAGCAGCATTTAAAGGAACTTAGAAAGGACAAGAGTGTCAGATTCCCTTTTTGTGGTGCTATAGATTGTGCTTGGCAGACAACTAGTAAATGTAGAAGGTTATTTGACTATGAAGCCTTGTATGCCAAATACAACCACACCAGGAAACGGCAAACACATCTGTTAAAATGTCTGATATGGGTTACAATAAGCCCCTAAACTGTATATGAGCTGTGACATAGGAGTGGGGGGGTTGGCTTTACATGCCACATTCATCCATTTCCAGCAGCAATCTTAGAGGAAGCAGACATGATCTGTGAACAAGTCTAAATTGTAATGTAAACTTTTATGCTGTATGCATGCAGGGTTATTCAATAAAGTGAGAACTGGATTTTTTTTGGATCAGAATTTCAAATTTAAGTCCAAAATAGTCCAGAATTGGAAGAATTACCCAAGTCACCTATGCTTCTATTTGGGCTTTTTTGCTTAAAATGTGAAATTCACTTTTAATTCCTGACAATTCTTACTTTAGTAAACAGAATTTTTTAATGTATAAATTTGCTGACAGTTATGACAGTTCTATTGATAATGCATAACCGTATGCCAAATCTAGGATAAAGATCTCTTCAAGCTGCAGGTAAATTGATGTTTTAATTTATATAGCTGCAGTGGAATAAAGTAATCTAGTCCTGGCATTTAAATGTCGTGGAATTTATAGTCTCTGGAAGGTCAGAGCAGGTGTCTGTTTAGCAGTGTGCCAGCAAGACGTCAATACTTTTATAAAGGGAAAAGTTCCAATGGCAGAAAACCAAAACATTAAACGAAGACAAAAAAACAAAACATAAAACAATGGAAAAATCAAAGTCCAAATGAAACAGTTCTGTTACCTGAAAAAACCTTTACAGTAATCAAAGCTTAAAGGGAACCAAACAAGAAAATGGCCGGGCCATGTCAATTTAGTTTGAAGCCCATTAGGACCTTCCATACCATCCTAGAAATATTGGATTCCTTTGGGACAGCATGGGACATCCTTCAGTTTAGGTGTGAGCAGAATAAAATCCCTGCACCTATGAGATCCAGGTATCACCCAATACAAGTAAGATTACACAATAGTAACTAAAATAGTGAAACAATTTCTTTTTGGGCAGACTAGATGGGCCGAATGGTTCTCATCTGCCGTCACATTCTATGTTTCTATGTAAACCCACTTGTGAGGCCAACAGATATCAGCCATGTGGTCACTGTTACAATAGCTTCTGCTTTCTTACAGCACTCCGTACAATTGGGGATCCATTGAAACAGTTGTAGGACTACAATCAAATTGGGTAATAGCAACATCCATTGGATGTTAGGAAAAAGTAACATTCCTAGGACGTACTTAGAATCCAGAATCATTTGGATGTACCTTTCCTGGTTAAATACTTTGCTATTAATATTTCATCTGGACAGAGGGTGAAATTTCACTCACCAATGTCTAGTGGAAATGTTGAACCCTGACATATACACAACGATCATTGTTTGTGATGGTTCTCCTTTACAGCACAACCTAGAAGTTAATACTTGAAAATGAGTTACAAACTTTTAGAACCATGGAAAATGAAAACCAGAGACAAATATTTGAGAGCTTGGCTATCTGCTCATAATCTCTGGCCTCTCTGTCCTTGTCTCAAATTTAGACGATGGATATTCTTGGTGCACTGTCAATGTGATTCAGTACCTCTGTATATTGTATTTTCTATTTTTCATTCTTTATAACTGCTGTATAAGAATGTATACTGTTTTCATTATTGTTTTACCCTTATAAAAAAACTAATAAAACGTGATATCACAAATAACTTGGGAAATGTGTAACATACTATTAAAAAGGTATTTAAAAAAAAAAAGATTAAAGTCGATTGAAAATAACATAAAAGTTCAATATACTTAAAGTAGTAAAACCTACCTCATTAAAGTGCTCCGTTAAAAAATCTGCCACAAATGTAATGTCTTTCTGAGTCATCTAAAGCAAAGACGCAAAGAAAAATGAAATTATTTCATATAGTTCACTAAGAATAAAAACTTATGTTTTGGAGAGACCTTTACAAAGAAAAAACAAAACAAAGATTAGATAAGTGAGTTCTTAAAATGAGTTAACCTACCTTGTTTAGTTCAGGAAGCACGTGATCCTCTGACATTCGTAACATAGCTTTAAAAAAAAAATAAAAAAATAATAAATATATATATATATATATATATATATATATATATATATATATATATATATATATATATATATATATATATATATATATATATATATATATAATTATAGGTTATGGCGTTGAAAAAAAAAAATATTCCACTAGTTGAAAAAAATTATAATATTTAACACATTTGTGATAAAATGCATGCAACCTCACTCAGACATCTCCTAGCGATTGCCTTTTCAAGCAAGTAGACTTAGAAACCTCTATATAAATAGTGACCTCTATCTCACTACAATCAGCATTTTACAATACGCCTTTCTACCTTCTGTCTTAAATGTCGTTACCATGTGTAGATTGTAAACCTGTGGGACATCTCACACAACACATGGTTTAGAAGTGCTACAAACTAAGCAAAATTATTAATTTTTTTTAATACCAGTTCTTATATGTTCCCTGTGCCACTGAACTCCAAACGCACATTAACAGGACTTAAAATTTAAATTCCTAAGCTGCTAGCCAAGCTTTAAAAGTTACTTGCCGCTGCAAGCCTGGAGAGTCCGTGGCATATTTACCAGGAGTGAATTTTGACTTGCCAGGACTACATTTTCCATGGCCAAGTGGAAATTCTGAGCCGTGCCCATTAATATAACAAAAAAGAGAAAAATATGTTGCCTCAAGAGCAGATACAAGATATGTGGCGAACAATATCAACTCTTGCTCACGAATGCTACACAAGACTCAAACTTTTCCTTTCAGGCATTGTCTGAATATTGCTCAACAATTAAACTCAGCCCTCCTGATGTTGTGATTCGCCTTCTAAGACTAACTTATCAGTCAAATGAGATGAATAAGTTCAAACAGCAAACATCAGGGAATAATCCACAATTATAGAATGCTACTTCTATACTGTCCTATAATTACAATGTTAATTAACATGGAGGAGGAGAGTATTTTGTATATAATATAACAAGATTTTATATACTGTTGATTTTGTACTCTTAATTGTGGAGAGACAGCTTTACATACCGACATAGAGCCATCGGAAGAAAGCCTTAAAGTTTTTCATTCCACTGTCTATAACTCTAAACAAAAAGAAAAACGTAACAAAAGGTGAAAAATTGATCTAAGAAATGTTTATATGCAGTGCACAGATTACACGGTTACATCTGGTAAGTGATCTAATGTTGAACTTACATATTATACAGAATGTGTACATGATATATGCTTATTTTAATTCATAAAAGGTGCACACACCTGTGTGCATAAAAAGTATAAAATGAAGACACATACACATCACACATACATAGAAGGTTGTCTGGGCATCTTGAGAAATATAGATAAAACATCTGTGGCTAGTTATTACTGGGTTAAAGGGACACTCCAGACCTCTAAAGCACTTTTGATTCCTGAAAAGCTTTGTGTGTACATAAAGCGTATCCTTTTTTTTTTTTTTGGGAAATCGTGCAGACCTCAATAGAAATTGACACGGTTATGAATTAACCTGGTTACACCCCCTGGCTTTTCAAGCAGGCAACAGATAATATTACTTCCTGGTTTGGTTGACTTATTTGTACTAAACTCAAGAGGCAGTAATTTCCCAGAGCACCTGCTTTGCAAAGACTTCTCACTGAGCTGCATTGGTAAGTCTGCCATTGGACAGCCACAGAAAGTCTGGGTGGGGTTAGAAGAGGAGGGCTTACAAAAGCAGCAGAAAAGAGAACTACATTTTTTGCTAGCTGTGTTTAGATATGCACCAATAAAAAATTACATTATTAAATGCATGCAAGTTGATTTTTATTTATTTTGTATTTGGGCAGTGGAGTGTCCCTTTTAAGAAGGAAAGAAAAATAAACTATAAGAAAAAAATAAACTAAATGAAAAAAATGATAGAAGTAGAGATAGAGTAAATGCATCTAATAGAACAAGCCCTAGATTTCCTATTAAAGGGACTCTGTCACACCCGCAAAAATGTTTTCATAAACATAACATTTATAAAAAAAAGAAAAAAAAAAAAAGAAGGGTCATGAAGACTGTACTAGAATTTCCAACTTAACCAAAGTTATCATAAGACAACGTATGGACTACTTTGTCCTTACCTAGATTTCAGTAAGGCTTTTGACACTGTTACACATAGAAGGCTTATCAATAAACTGCAATCTTTAAGTTTGGATTCCAATATTGTTGAATGGGTAAGGCAGTGGCTGAGTGACAGGCAACAGAGGATTGTAGTCAATGGAATATATTCGAAGCTTGGACTTGTCACCAGTGGGGTACCTCAGGGATCTGTACTTGGACCCATTCTTTTTAATATTTTTATTAGTGATATTGCAGAAGGTCTTGATGGTAAGGTATGTCTTTTTGCTGATAATACTAAGATATGTAACAGGGTTGATGTTCCAGGAGGGATAAGCCAAATGGCAAATGATTTAGGTAAACTAGAAAAATGGTCAGAATTGTGGCAACTGACATTTAATGTGGATAAGTGCAAGATAATGCATCTTGGACGTAAAAACCCAAGGGCAGAGTACAGAATATTTGATAGAGTCCTAACCTCAACATATGAGGAAAGGGATTTAGGGGTGATTATTTCTGATGACTTAAAGGTAGGCAGACAATGTAATAGAGCAGCAGGAAATGCTAGCAGAATGCTTGGTTGTATAGGGAGAGGTATTAGCAGTAGAAAGAGGGAAGTGCTCATGCCATTGTACAGAACACTGGTGAGACCTCACTTGGAGTATTGTACACAGTACTGGAGACCGTATCTTCAGAAGGATATTGATAACTTAGAGAGGGTTCAGAGAAGGGCTACTAAACTGGTTCATGGATTGCGGGATAAAACTTACCAGGAAAGGTTAAAGGATCTTAACATGTATAACTTGGAGGAAAAATGAGACAGGCGGGATATGGTACAAACATTTAAATACATACAGGGAATCAACACAGTTAAGGAGGAAACTATATTTAAAAGAAGAAAAACTACCACAACAAGAGGACATAGTCTTAAATTAGAGGGGCAAAGGTTTAAAAATAATATCAGGAAGTATTACTTTACTAAGAGGGTAGTGGATGCATGGAATAGCTTTCCAGCTGAAGTGGTAGAGGTTAACACAGTGAAGGAGTTTAAGCATGCGTGGGATAGGCATAAGGCTATCCTAGATGGACCGAATGGTTCTTATCTGCCATCAAATTCTATGTTTCCTATGATAAAACTTTTGCCTGAAAAAAACTTGACAAAAGGCCTATTTAGTGGAATTAAGTGGTCACTTCCACCAGCTGTCAGCATCAATGATCGATTGAAGATAGTGGGGACAAGTATAACTCTCCTGCACCGTGTACCCCTGTGCTACTGCACACCAAGTGGTGAAGTCACCATCGTTGATCTTCAAAGTCTTCAGTGTGGTTTAATTCAGCGCCATAACAACTACAGAGTATTGCAATGGTTATATTACTATTAAGTTGTAACTGCATTGTCTTAAAGGAACACTACCCAAGCACCAAAACCATTACAGTTCCCTTTAATGGTAAGATCACTCCATTTTAATTTGGTTTGATAACTTATCTGGGTCATTGCGCACCTGTTGCCATGATTTTCCTATAGAGACATCTGGTTTCTTTGTAGCAGACAAAGGTGGGTGCCCAATGGAAACCAATAAATTTTCCAAACCGTATGAAATTGGTTTGGCATCTTACGGTCGTATGGCACCCTGGGTTATAGTGATTGGATTGTTCCTTTAATCTGTGGAGCTCCGATTCCAGCCTCTTCCCTTTAGCATCACATGGAAGCTTTGCTAATACACACACCCACACAGAGTACTGTTCACTCCTTAGACTGTTGTGCACTGAACAGGACAAAGTACAGTATTAGGTGTGTGGGCACACAGCAATCTCCTGTTAGGTGAAGGACGGAGACTTGCAAGTCTGAGCAGACAGGGCAAGAAAACTCACTACATATAAGTACCTGGAAGGTTGAGTATTCATAACACGAAAAGCAGTGCAACAGGGCACATGTTTATCAGTAATCATCTCAATATCATGATTTTCACAGAATACATTGTTTTTTAAACTCTACCAGATGTATAGCCAACAGAAACATGCTTACTGGAGAAGCTCATTTGCTTTCAAAATGAAGGATCCAACAGCTGTTATGGCACCTGGAAAGAAATGAGTTTACACAGAAACCAATCAGCAGACAAACAAAACATACACACAAAAGATCACAAGGTTTGAGAATTTCAAGAGCTTCAGTCTACCCAAGTACTTTACACAATAGTAAAATATCTAGATATATTTGTTTAATCTGTTTGCAGACAACTAATCTATTATTTGTACAATATAATAACTAACCAAAAGTTTGCTACTAACATTTGTTTATTATTTCTTTTTTTTTGGCTTGCATATTTCCTAAACTGATATTTATAGACATACGCATACATAAAAAAAAAACACAACAACGAAACAGATCATTACAATTCTGTTCAACAAACCTTCAATTGCTTTGGCATCAAGTCCAAGGGGCTCATACTTCTGTCTCCATAAAGCCATACCTTTCAGTTCACTTAGATGGTACAGCAAAGCTTCAGCTCCACTATGTATGAAGAAAAGCAGTCTGTCAGCACTATATTAATAATATGACGTGCAGGGTAAGATGATACGAATTCAACAGGGTCAAGAGAAGTATACCTATTACAGAGGGCTAGTAATGAATAGGCAATGAAAGCTTTTAGCCAATATTAGTGGGAGGCAGAATGAACAATGGCCAGCACTGTGCCCCTGGCATGTTGACAGAGCATTGTTGGGCACACAGCTTGGGAGTTTTTTTTTCCCCCCTCTCTTAGTAATTTAATAGTTTTAATTACATCTACTTAAATATATTGTAGGTAGCTAACACTGTCTAGCTGTTACTAACTCATCACCTTCAGCAACTATTGCTTTATATTGACCAGGTTATTTATTAAAATGAGACTTGTTGGGTTACTCAAATATTAGACCAGATCTAAAAATAAAAAAATAAAAAGATTTTCAATTCAATAAAGTTCAGTGTTTAGTAAATTTCAAAACTATTTTGCCTTACATAAGAACATATTCCCACCTCTAGTTTAGAATACAAATCAGAGTTATCTAACAGGCACACTGTGAATTTACCTTTGCAAGTGACATATAACTAGTCTCTGTATAGTGGAATATGATGACTCAACAGATTGTCCAAGTTTCTTCAATCCCTAACAATATAAAAACATTCTGTTAATATATAAAGCATTGGCCTCCACCACACAAAGCACACAGGACGGTAACTTGGAATCACCACTTACTTTAACAGTTAGCTGGGTCATCAGTAAAGCTTGGAGCTCAGGACTAAAATATAATAAAAAATAAAAAAAATTAATTAAAAATACTTAAAATAATATTTTCTTCAGAATCCATAAGAGAATGTTATTGCATCTCGCTAAGAAGGAGGTACATCAGTACTGCTGCATCAGCAAATGCTTTACAAAATATATTCTTTTATTCCAACACCTTAGCAGCGGCCAATAAAAAGTCATCAACAGATCAGGATAATCAGAGGTTTTTTTATATATATAAAATATTATTTTTCTCCTAATGAAAAGTTACAGTCGAACGTAGCTAGGGAACACGAAGATGCACGTTTTTCAGACCATCAAACTGAAAGACTTCTAGCCTGGGTATGTGTTCACATACGCCACCTAAATTTCGAACAATATCAACAGAATAAAGATGGACAATAATTAAATTTAAATATCCTATTTAACTGGTTCTCTTATGCCAACTCGTTTAAACGCAATCATGTTACTGTAATATAAAAAGTACCTTGCTTTACCCCACAAGAGTAGCTGCATGAATTCATCTTGTACTGAAGTGGTAGTATTTTTTTCCTAAAACAAGGAAGTAAATTAATCATTTTGACATCTGCAATCATTCAAATATAGATGCCAAAAATAAAGGTATCCAACTGGGGACACTCAGGTGTTTTTTTTTTTTTTTTTATAATTCAGCAACTCTACTGAACATGTATCCAAAAAAAAGCTGGAAGGGCAGGACAAGGCACCCTTGCATGAGACTGTGAACATGATCATTAATAAAATATAATCTAACAACAACAACAAATCTGCCATGTTACTCATCATAGTTACATAGTAATCTAGGTTGAAAACAAAAACTCAAGTCAATCAGGTTCAACCTTTAAAGTTGCTCTAACTTCAAACTTTCAGAATCTGTTCTTTTCTGGTCTAGATCACCATAAGACTACTTTGTTTTATGTTTTTCCTACGCTTGACAATCTTGACAGAGGGTGGTGCTTAAGGCATTCCTCTGATAGTGGCGCTTGCCTTAAAAAGGTATACTACAGGAATCAAAACAAAAATTGTCCCTCTCCCAAACAGCCACTAGAGGGCGCTCCCTGCAATTTCATGGAGTTTAACTCGGTGAAATGGCGCAGGACAGCCTCACGCTGTCCATGAGGACGTCAGGTGTCTTGCAAAACCCCATGGGAAAGCATTGCGTCAATACTTTCCTATGGGGAAAGCCTAATGCGCATGCCGACATCAGTTGAAGAGATCCAGTGCTGAGAATCAGATAAGCGTTTAAATGTTTTACTGCATTCTTTATCTAGTAAAACAGATGACAATGTAACCGTAATACTTAGTCATCAGACAAATGTCTTCTAACAATTAGACAAATTTAAATAGCTGTGTACCGTAAGAAGAAAATGCAGAACAAAATATTGCAAAAACATTATATACAATATTTACATACAGTACCAGAGCTTAAAAGGATAATATCACGAAAACATACTGCACACCCAAATTGATAAAAAGCAATATTCTGTAGAGTCCCTTTAAGCTTTGAATCTGCTACCTTTAAATTAACAATCTTTTTCTACATTATAGTAGCTGTGAATATATTTTTAATTTAGCAATGTTCAACAATGTTTATTTTTGCTGCTTTTCAAAATACAAAAAACTGGTTCAACTACAAGCCTAATAAAATAAGCCAATAAATTGAAATGATTCATACTTGCACAAATTTTGTCAGCCGTGAATCCATTTGCAGAAGGATTTCTTCCCAAGCTTCACACATACACGTGAGGGCTAATTTCAAGTACTGGAAACAGGAAAAAAGTAATTATGAGCAATTGTACATTTGGGGGGGGAGGAGGGGTAGCAGGTTTAAATAGACTACAGGTGATACTCGAAAAATGTAAATATCGTGCAAACGTTAATTTATTTCAGTAATGCAATGTAAAAGGGGAAACTAATATATGAGATAGATGCATTACATGCAAAGCAAGATAGTTCAAGCCGTGATTTGTCATAAGTGCGATGATTATGGCTTACAGCTCATGAAAACCCCAAATCCACAATCTCAGTAAATTAGAATATTACATGCACACAATAAAACAAGGAGTGTACATAGAACAATATCGGACCTCTGAAAAGTATAAGCATGCATATGGACTCAGTACTTAGTTTGGGCCCCTTTTGCAGCAATTACTGCCTCAATGCGGCGTGGCATGGATGCCATCAGCCTGTGGCACTGCTGAGGTGTTATGGAAGACCAGGATGCTTCAATAGCGGCCTTCAGCTCTTCTGCATTGTTCGGTCTCATGGCTCTCATCTTTCCCTTGGCAATGCCCCATAGATTCTCTATGGGGTTCAGGTCAGGCGTGTTTGCTGGCACAGTAATCCGATGGTCATTGAACCAGGCTTTGGTACTATTGGCAATGCTGGAAAATGAAGTCAGCATCCCCATAAAGCTTGTCTGTGGAAGGAAGCATGAAGTGCTCCAAAATCTCCTGGTAGATGGCTGTGTTGACCCTGGACTTAAGAAGCACAGTGGACCAACACCAGCAGATGACATGGCTCCCCAAATCAACACAGAGTGTGGAAACTTCACACTGGACTTCAAGCATCTTGCAGTGTGTGCCAGAATCTAGGTCCTTGGTTTCCAAATGAGATGCAAAAGTTGCTTTCATCAGAAAAGAGGACTTTGGACCACTGAGCAACAGACCAGGTCTGTTTTTCTTTAGCCCAGGTAAGACGCTTCTGACGTTTGTTGTTCAGGAGTGGCTTGACAAGAGAAATACGAAATCTGAAGCCCATGTCCAGGATCCATCTGTGTGTGGTGGCTCTTGATGGACTGACTCCAGCCTCAGTCCACTTCTTGTGAAAGTCCCCAACACTTTTGAATGGCCTTTTCCTGACAATCCTCTCCAGGCTGCGGTCATCCCTGCTGCTTGTGCACCTTTTTCTTCCACATAACTTTCTATTAATGTGCTTTGATACAGCACTTTGGGAACATCCAACTTCCTTCGCAATTACCTTTTGAGGCTTTCCCTTCTTGTGGAGGGTGTCACTGATGGTTTTCTGCACAACTGTCAGGTCAGCAGTCTTCCCCATGATTGTGATTCCTACTGAACCAGACTGAGAGACCATTTAAAGGCTCAGGAACCCTTTGCAGGTGTTATGGCTTACTTAGCTAATTAGAGTGTGACACTGTGAGCCTAGAATATTGCACCTTTTCACAATATTCTAATTTACTGAGATTGTGGATTTGGGGTTTTCATGAGCTGTAAGCCATAATCATCGCACTTATGACAAATCATGGCTTGAACTATCTTGCTTTGCATGTAATGCGTCTATGTCATATATTAGTTTCCCCTTTTACGTTACATTACGGAAATAAAATAACTTTTGCATGATATTCTCATTTTTTGAGTATCACCTTTACATCTAGATGCATTTAGCATTCAAGTTACATTACAATAAGGGTATGCAGTCAGTTGCTAAACAATATTTCCAAAATTTGCTACACTGGGCTTTTAAAGGAACTTCCCAAACAATTAGATTGTGCTTTATGCTAGAGTCACCTGGCTTCTTATGCTGGAAAATATACGAAACAGAGGATGCACCCAAGTTACGTTGCCAAACGCCATAAAATGCTTTGAGAACTCATTATGAGAATGGTTTTGTGTCTCTCCTGGCACCATAACCACTACAGCGGGCTGTAGTGATTATAGTTTTTGGAGGATTCCTTTAAGTCATATAGAACAAGAGAAATAGCGAGAGAGAGACAAACAAGCACATGCTCACTCTCTCTGCTTCTATTAGGTTCGTAACAAAGGCTAAAAATCGTTCAAACTTCCGTTGATGCCATCAGGTGGAAGATCTGCACAGGGTTACCAGAGCAAGATGAAAGATACCGCACAGGTGCAAAGCTCCACTACATAACCAACTTTTCACATAAAATATCAGCTTGTATTGCTGTAAATAAATAGTAATTACTTGAAGAAGGGTAGAAATGTGGGTAAACTTCCTGGCCATCCGGGTAACTTCAGGTAAGTAGTCAGACAACAAACTGGTATCTAACTGAGAAAAGAAAAGACAAAACACAAATCAAACTGCAAGCTTAGCATGACTTCAGGTCCTTTGACCACTAAATTGAAGCTCACCTGAAAGTAAGTAATCTCAGGGGTGGCGTTCGTTGACAGCTCGGTAATAACAGACATGGATTTTAGATCACTAGATAAACATAACCCTCGACAGGCTCCAAAGACCTGGGAAATAAAAGACAATGTTCAGGTTACACCAAAACAAAACCATCAGACTGCATAAAATACACTGAAATCCACGGTTTATCAGAATGGTGTCAACTGGAGGCACATATAAGACCCATCTCCACAGCAATCCCATAATTCTCAAGCTCATGGGCAATTCTTCCCATGGTGCAGTGTGCGTAGGAGCATAAGTGATTTGTGCATAAAAACAATTAGAGAGGGGAAGGTGGAGGGATGGATAGGTATGTGTGTTGTGAATAAGCCCCATTTTTAAGGGGAATTGATTTCCCTAAAAAGGAAAAAGAACTTTACCTCTGTGATGGTTGCAATCTTGTACATTCCGTACGCATAGATTTCAATCTGCCCGGAGTCTCCTCCAAGGACTAAAGCATTGAGCCTTAAGAAACAAAAGACAATCATATAAGTGTCACTGTGTCTTCTGAGGAACCCCAATTTATATTTAAACTGGTTATATAAGAAACCTTACAATCTATTTTATACAGCAGACTATGCATGCTATACCATGATCGCATTTTTTGGTATTAACTTTACTGATGCATTGTACTAGAAATACGACAGGCACACATACAAATTACTTCCCTCACATCTGATGGAACTTACGAAGGCCTCGTCACCACTCTCTGTACACTGCCCTGGATTCTTTCATTTCAGACCAGATAACAGAGGCTCAGAGGACAATCATGCGGCTAGCTTGTGGCAATACATTGTAAGGAAAGCCAGTCTACAAGCACATAATATAATTTCACGGCAAACTGCAAAATAATGCTTGAAACACTTTGCATGCCAACACTGGGCTCATCTGTCGCAATCATTTACCAACCACTCTTTAATCATTAAAATGGCTGTTGCTCACATTAGTTATTACTGGCTATCTCCATGCCATAGAACATAACAACTGGTAATTATAGGCTGTCATATTTTCAGGTCTTCCATAGGGGTTAACAGGAGATGCTAAATGCCAAGTAGCACCTGGGATACATGCTCGATCAGGGATCAGCAACCTATGGCACATGAGCCATGCACGGCATTCAAGGCTGCCAAAGCCAAACAGGCTCTGTCATATCAGAAGTCCCAGTGGGACTTCAGATATCTGCTAGTGCAAACCGAGTGGTGATTGCAGGTGGTGAGGAACAATGCTCAATTTACCTATTTCTAGCTCTTGTGAAGATGAATAGAATGGGAGTAGAGCAGCTGCCCTTTACCAGCACCTTGCCAGCTTAGTCCCCACTGGTCCCCAGGGAAGCCACTCTCACTGCTAGATATACACAGAGCTGCAGAATAAACCTCCACCTTATACAAATACTAACAGCACAAACACACATACAGTCCCCACAAACACAACACCACTAACAATCCACATACACAACCCCACAAACAACCTCTCACATACAATACCACAAGCAGCCCCACACATACACACACCACCAAAGACACAATGTGACATATCATCCACAGCCAGAATTCCACAAGCAGCCCTCATACACAGCCCACATTCATATTGATCATACACAATACATACACACACACACACAGACATACATACACACACACACATCTTTTATTTCCAGAAACTTTAGGAAGTTCCTCAAAATGATTAAGATTCCTTTTTTACCTTCTATTATCTCCCACTCTCTAATACCCTCTCTTATTTTTAGGTCTACGCACAATATTTTATTAGCTATTATGCCAGTACAAATTTTTTTTCTATATTGGTTTTACAATTTGTCTTTTTGGGTTGTTTAATAATTGTCTCATAACTTTTGCTTTTTTTTATAGGAGTGATTAATTTCCCTTTTTTAACTTTAGGTCCAAGCAGAATACCTATTTGAAATGATGCCCTTGACAAACACTTATTTTTACAGGTATTGTATATTGAACTGCTTTTAAAATGGTATGTTTTAGACTATGTAATAAGGTATTGAGTTAAGGGGCAGAATCAATGGATTTTCCCTCAAAGGAGATGACGTCCGGAATTGCGGCTGACAGATGTACGTCAGCACATGATGAAATCAGACGCTATGGCGAGATGCCGAGCGTCAGTAAGAGACTAACAGGAAATGACACAAAACTATACTATGAACCCAGGAAAGCAAAAAAGCGTGAGCAAATTAAATGAACAGCCGCGCATATCATCTAATAAAGCCGGAAATGCACAAACAAACTTTATGCACTTTAAGAAAGACCTGGTTAGGTTTAAACACGTTAGTGCTGCTGTTTGTATATACATATATTTTTTTAACCTTGTTTGGAATATCTTTTCCCCAATAAATTGTTATACTTTGAACATGGATGTAGAGTTTATTTGGCTGGTCAATGAAAAGGAGAAGGGAGCAGAGATCCAGAGATTGGTTACCTGTAAATAGTGCTGACAGTCTGAGCCTGCCAATCAATAGGTTATTTTAATTTACTTAACACTGGTGATATTAGCTACACCTATTACAATTATAGCACTTTATTCCTGCACTATACTTACATATTTTTAGAAAATGGCAATATACACACACCTCAATTTAAAAAAAATTACGACCGGCACGCCAAGAGATTTCAATATCTTGTTTTGTCACAGTTCTACTAAAATGTTGCCTACCTCTGTGCTAGATGGTAAAAAAATACATGTATTTTTTTTTAATCTAGGTCTCAAGAGGTAAAAGACAAATTAGCGACTGCAATCTCTCAATATATACTAAATCAATAAAATATATGTATGTACATTTAACAACTGAAGCTAAATAGAAGTATGGTATATGTAGTAATCCATAAATACTTGTGAAGTGTAGCAAGCCATGTGTATGCAAACAGTAAAGACAACTTTGATGATCACAGGTGAAGTTTACAGCAATCAATTGGAAAATGCATCTTCCTGTCCAATTTTCAAATCGGTAAATGCTAAGTGGAGGTCAGTATCAATGGAGACAGGAACACGTTCCATGCAGATTTTAAAAGGAAGTGAACCATTGAAGCCTTTTTGTATTTCGTTAGCTGCAATCATTTACTAGCTGCTAGTATTAATATTCTTTAACAGCTGCTTTTGAACAACAAGAAGAGAAATAAGCTGGTAGTACAATATCACAATACAACTTAACCACTTAAGGATCACATGACAGTCTATGCCATCATGAAGTGCAGAGGTTTAATGCCAAGTGATGGCACAGACAGTCATGCAGGAAAAGGTTCCAGCAGAGGTAAAATCCCTGCTGGTACCAAAGACCTGCAATTATCTTTTGATACCTTGGGAACTCCTGTGTCAGCTGATGAGTTATGAGTAGCTGCTCATATCCCCTTTAAATTGATTTAAATGCTGTGTTAGTGTAATTGTGCTACCGTGACAAATGTAAAAATAATAATGTCCCCTTCCAGCTCTCCCCCTACATTAAAAGGGAGACCTACAGGGTGATTTTCAGACCCTGGGGTGGTCTCTCTGCTTGCCCACTGTTGCAGTTCTGCCAGCTGCCCAGCACCAATCACTGTGTGCTGCAGCATGAGAGTGAGCTGTCTCATGTCAAAGCATGCAAAAAGTTGCAAGATTTTTGCTTCAAAACCGTAATCTACTCCTTGCAATATTTGCTTTATAACTTCTAAAATGTTATTGAAACCCTAGACACATTGGGAATTTTAACAATCAAGACTAAATAGTGAATCTAGTTTGAGCTAGTTTTCATTATTTGCACTTGTGTGTGTAGAAATTATTAAATTTAAAATAAAATGTTGGTCCGCCCCTTTTAAAAAATATTTTACCTGGATATGGCACTGGCGTCCATAGTATTGTTTCCTAAACCGGACAAAGACCCATTTCTCCCAGGTAGCTATTCCCTTATAAATAAATAAATCATGATATGAAGCTGTTCGCTAAAATACAGGCGGACCGTCTCTCCCCACATTTGACATCTTTGATAGACGCAGACCAAGTTGGCTTCATACCAGGGAGACAATTATTTGAAAACACCCGTAGAACCACAGACCTCATATGGAAACAATCAATTACGAGTACGCCTACTTTAGACTTTCGACTGACGCCGAAAAGGCTTTTGACAGAGTTAAGTGGCATTATATGTTCACATTACTACAACACCTAGGATTCGCAGCGGAATATACCACGGCGGTACGGGCCATGTATAGCAACCTTAGAGCTCAAGTTCGGATTTCGGGTGCAATACCTTCCCCATTTCAGTTTTTCAACGGCACGAGACAGGGTTGCCCTCTCTCCCCATTGTTGTTATCTCATTGGAACCCTTCCTACAGGAGCTTAGAACAAATCCAGATATACACGGAGTGAGGGTGGGAGATTGAGAATTTAAAGTAGCGCCATATGCCGATGTTTTACTGACGATTATGAGACCAGAGATCTCTATGGGGGCCCTAAGTGAAGTTATAACAGCATACGGGGAAATATCAGGCTTCAAGGAGAACATGACAAAATCTAGCACATTCCCCATAGAAATGCAAGAAACGGAGACTAATCGTATACATACCAAGTATCGTATCAAGATTGAAACACACTCCCTCAAATACCTGGGTGTTCACTTAACAGCTGATCCCGAGGATTTATACGCCCGAAACTATACCCCCTTATGGCGTACTTTAATACAAGATATGGAACGATGGAATGAAAAAAACTATCTCCTGGATAGGAAGGATCCACTCGGTAAAGATGAATATCTTGCCGAGGGCCCTATTCCTCTTCCAGGCACTACCGGTATCCCTGACCAAAACACATCTGATCCCACTTCAACGAGCTATTGGTAATTTTGTGTGGCAAAATAAAAGACACCGCATAGCTAGGCATATTCTATCCCGACCTAAACCAAGAGGAGGTCTGGGCCTCTCCAATTTATTCTATTACTACGTGGAAGCACAGTTGACACAGATTGCTTTGTGGCACTCACCCCCCAATGAGCAGAAATGGGTAGAGATAGAATCACTAATGATGGGCGCAGATCTCCCCCAGTTCGCGATGTGGGTCTCCAGGGAACATAGCCCTCTGATTAGGGTTACATGCCTGGCAATTCTGAACTCCCTCAGACTGTGGGACTCCTATGGACCCAAATTTGGATTGGTGTCTTTTCCCTCTCCTCTTATGCCGATACTACGCAACAGAGCATTTGCCCTGGGAATGGAGGCAAAGAACTTCAGGAATATTGAACGAGCAGGCATACAAAGGATCAACCATCTATACCAGGGTCCCGAGATAATCACCTTCGATGATCTTAAACAGGGAAGACATCTAACACCTAACGATTTTTTTTTAGATATTTGCAGATTAAAGACTTTGCTAGACAGCCACATATAAAATCCTTAGCACATAAGACACTGACCTTCTTTGAATCAACATGTAACACGGAGACTATCCCCAGGGGTCTCATAACCCAACTGTACACACATCTATGCACTGAAACTAAGGAATGGGGGGGGACTAGCATACATCGCACGATGGGAGAGAGGTCTTGGTGAGGAACTTGAGGGAATAGAATGGCAGGAGATCTGGGAGGTCAGCAGAACCACCTCTATATGCGTGACATTACAGGAACGATCCTTTAAAATGATGTTCCGATGGTATACGACCCCAGTTATGCTATTCAAAATGCACAAAACCACTACAGACGAATGCTGGAGGGGATGTGGGAAAAAGGAGACATACCTACACATGTGGTGGTAGTGACCTAAGATTGCCAGGTTTTGGATGGCCATAAGGGACCTCCTAACACAAGTGTTTTCCAGAGCCCTTGGGTATATCTATTGAACAGATCTATTGATGGCTGGACTAGAAGGGAGCAAAAACTAATTCACAAATTTACTCTAGCTGCAAGAAGAGCTATAGTACACACATGGCTACAACCAGATATACCACACATAGCGAGCGTTATCACGAGAATTAGGGAAGTATGCTTAATGGATTATCTGACTGCTAGTGTTAGGGGGACCACGGGGGCGTTCCAGAAACTGTGGGAGCCGTGGGATGATAGCTCACTGAGCACTTATGTGCCGGGAGGGTCTTAATGAATGTGCCTCGGTCCCCCTCCTCCCTTGGCCCCCCTCCTTCCTCCCGCCCTCTGGTGCCCCGCCGCGTGTTTAGTCACCCTGACTTTTCTTTTCTTTCCTTTCACTCTTTGTCTTTCCTGGTCTCTTTTTATCCTTCTTTTTCTCTTTTTCCTTCTCTTATCTTGTATTTCATGTCTTACTCTTTGAACCTCCTTTTTTTTTTTACTCTCTTATGACTTAGTATATCACAGCCCTGGCATTCACAGGGCAAATAGCAAAAGAACTACGGATACAGGGATCTCTCTTTATTTCCAACAGAAAGCACAATTTGTACTGTACATACGGGTCAGCTTATATCAACATTACTACTACAGCTAACTAAGTACCTGAGTTTCTGTTTGGAAACATTACTTAAAAATTTACATTCATATCAGGCCAGCCACGAAAAGTTTACTGTACAACGTTATTTGTTATAAAATATGTGTCTTGGTCTTATCGGCTTGAATTAATGTATTGAACAAATATAAAGAATATACAAGGTAAGCGGCAAAGGCTCATAGATACTGATGGCCTTGCACTAGCTTGCTGAGAATAACAGCTGGTTCTGCTATAAACATGATATTACCTATAATCAACGCTGTTACTTTTGATGCCAGTGTATCTGGTTTTGTGTTCAAACAAAAATGTAAAAATGTGCATCTAAGCCAAGCCAGTCCCGGGAATGCTACTGTATAATGTTGCTTGTTACATGACATGTGTACAGGCTTTGTCAGATTGTGATTTTGCAATGCACAACAAAAATAAAGAATAAAAAAATAAAAAAAAGTATTCCTTTTTAATATTGTGTTATGCATACATAGTAGGGTTTCAAAAGAAAGTCCTATTTGCTTCTTGAATGAATATATAATATCTTTGAAGATTAAAAAAACATTATTTACCTAACGTCACCTAGGAGCTTCAGGATTTCATCTGATTTCTCTTCACTAGAATAGAAAAGGTTGGGCTGTAGTGAGACATTTCAATACCATGTACAGGGACAATGTATATTTACAAAATATCTTACCTGAAGATTTTTGCTGTTGCATTGTAACTGGAATAACACACATGGAAAGGAAAGTTACATAAAGTCGATAAAACGCAACTACAAACTATACATGGAATAGTTTTAAGTGAGAGTTGCTATTATTATATTGCATAGATTTAAACTACACTTACAGGTCCAGTCATCTGTAGCACTAATCTAGTAACATAGCTAATATGGGGTTATATGTGTAAAGGCGATTTAAAATAAATAAATAAATAAATTGATTAAATTTACTCTTGTTAGACGTTAGTTGAGTTAGCTGCTCAAACACTGGAGGTATATCTGTTACAAAGTCATAAATATATTTTTTTAATAGTCAAATGCTTAGTGAAAACTAATCAAGGTATAGCTTACAAACAACTTGTGGAAAAAAAACCCCACCAATCTGAGACAAAAACGCTAGACGCAAAATAATGTATGTGCAAAAGAAATCCGGGCCAACAGGAAGACTTACTGTTTTGTTATAATCTTTTAGAAAATTTTATTTGCATGCTGAGTTTTTTAGATCTGTTCAAGTAAATTTATTTTATACTAGATTCAAGTCGACCATCTTCCATTTCACTTCATAAGAAGGGTAGTTGCCCCCTTAAAGGCACATACATTTGCATACCAGGAGCCAGGTCTAGGCTCCTAAAAAGGTGAGAAACCATATTTTTTGTATATTCTTGTTGTATGTAGGAGTAATTACACTAGAGGCTGTACTGCTTTCTCTATTTCCCTGCCCTCTTGTCTCCTTTACCCATGAGATATATACGTGAATAAGGAAGAAAGTAAGGGTTTGCTGTCACCAGAGTACACATACGCCCAAGTGACTTGAGCCCATCCAAAGAGGCTCTATCCCATGTGAGTGAGACTATTGTAACTCTATACAACCATAACTACTTCCAATTCTGTGTCACTACAATATTGCACTATATCAGCTTTGTTGTTACAGATTTGTACATCTGAAAATATTGTTTAAAATTGAAAACTGTCTCAAACCCTTAAGGATAAGTTCAAAATCCTAAAGCGCTCCATTTATACACCAGTGGTGGGGTATATACACTCTTCACGTCTGTGTGCTTGCATTATGTATTGTGCTTTATCTAATTTTTGAGGTATTACAACAATTTAAGGAAGATTGATCCTGTAGCCAAGTATCAATATGTGTAACACGTTATTTTTAATTAATACACAGTGAGATCATTGTTTTCAATTAAAACACTGTAATCCAAATCAAATACACTTCTTTAAGCTGCATTTTATTAGACTTCACGTTAATTGCGAAATTAAGCTATTTTGCACACACACTATTTTACATCTAGCACTTTATGGTCTCAAATTGGTAATCCCTCTCCCCCCCCAAGTTTATAGTAAGTTATACCTTTTTTACCTGCTTCACAATTAATGTAATAGTGGAGTAATTGTATACATATATAAGACAAAGACAAAAAAAAAAATGGGACTCACTTTTTAGGCAGTGGAGGCAGATTTGGCAGCAGAATGTTCACTTCACCCTCAGCATTATAAAAAGATGTCAAAATACTTAAAACCAGAAAAAGGAAAAAAAACAATGGCTCGTAAATCTGCATGTCCAATAAATGCAAAGCTGCAACAGAGATTATGCCAAGATCTCCCCTCATTTCTATGGATATTTGTATCACACATGAATTGGGTAAATAACTACTTCAACACTATAAACATTAAAAATAAATAAAATCTAACTAATTATTATTCCACATGGGAAAAAAATATATTTTTAAATGTACTATCCTTCAAAAGTAATATTATAAACTAACCTAACAGTCTCAATAAACTGAAGTATGTTTTATTTCACATCAGAGTGATATTAAACACTGAAGAAAATAAATAACTGGGTTTGGAACAAAATTATGATATGTAGACTTGCCTGTTCTCCTCTGTCACCTCCATCCAATGCATGCAGGATACTGGTGTTTCCACAGAAAAACAATGTAGGCTTTCTGGCTTTTCCACATCACATAATACAACCCGCTTGGTATCAGCAAGCCCAAAAGCCAAAACTGACAATAAAAAGTAAAGTCAGTAGAATGTCAGTGAATACATGTAAATGTCAGCTGAAACAGTAAATTTGCCTCCAACATACAGTGCTTATGCTACACCTAGTGATTCTCGTTAGTGATATGCAATTAAGGATTTATTTTCTATTTTCAGACAGTTTTAGAAGGAGTAAAAAAAAAAAAAAAATAATAATTTATCTGAAGAATATTAATATTGCACAAAAGGATACATCATTACAGGTGATTTTATATTTTCTTTGAAGAATAAACTTTACTTTTGCCATCTGGTCTCCATGCGAGTGATGTCACTTGTTTTCCGGTATTTTCACTTGGAGGCAAACTCCACACTCTCTGAATATTTGCGAGCCGATGAAGCAAGACCTGCAAGCAGAAGAAACACCACCACTGAAATGTGAAGAACAACTGTATTCAACCCCTTAAGGACCAAACTTCTGGAATAAAAGGAAATCATGACATGTCACACGTCATGTGTCCTTAAGGGGTTAAAAGCAAGCACATTTCCTGGTTTTGAATCTAATGTACATGTAAAGAAGCCTGCACTTTATAATAATTCAAGATCAGCATTTGAAGAAGGCAGGGGGAAACAAAAATCAAGTAAAGGAGTGTGAAGGTCATTTAACTACAAACATGTTAATCAATGCATATTTTACCTCTCCAGCTTTGTTTACTAATGCAATAAGATCTCTTTTTGGTGACCAGGACATAAAGATTATCTCCTGGGGCAGCTGCTTCTCTCCAACCTGACGAAACGGTGGCATTGTGCAATTCTTACATCAATGTCAATGTACAGAAAGTAAAACCAATGTTCACTACTGCAGCCTGCAAACAACAGAAAGACAAAATAGTAAAAAAAGAAAATAAAAACAAAAAGCACATCCTCCAACTATACAATTAAATAAAGCAAGAGATTTTCCCCACATTCATCTGATATTCAATAAAGTGAAACGAGAAAATTCCATGAAAAGTGTTAATTTCTTTCTCTGCATAAGTAGTAGATATTAAACAGTGCTTGCACTTTAACAGCGGAATACCTGCCATATATGCATATGTATCTTAATAAACTAATACCTTTCATGGAGATTCCTGTTGGCACTTTATTAGATACATGGTAAGTGCTGTATAAATCTCTTAATTTATAGATAGAAAATTGTGTTACAAAGAGCATCATGGTACGGAGTCAAACACCTGACATGTAGTAAATTATGTTAGATTGCATACTATGTTTTGGGGGTAGTGGCACAATTGGTTTTCTTTTTAATTGACAAATAAAATTTTTTCAAATTTATACGGTCAGTATATAAAATGTGTCGGGAATTTAACGTATAATAATGAAAACATTGTATACAGATTCATTAATAAAAAAACAAAAAAAAACATAACACAAATTTCTATGAAAACTGCTTTTAGAAACTTCATGAAACTGTAATACAGTTGTACATTTTGTAACACCAGTCAATAGGGATGCGATAATTGCGTGGGTTTTTTTTGTTTGTTTTTTGCATCAAACACAACACCACAACCTGAACAAATCTCCTGCTAGTTTTCATGCAAATGGAAAATATAATGTTAAGTGCTGTTTCACTGTAGTATGACCGAATAATAACTAGTACACACAGAATATAGAGTTGTTGCAAACCAGCCAATATTTGGGTATTTGCTAGACCCTCTAACTTAAGTACATTGTATTTTAAAGTATATATTTAGATAGATGTGTGTGTGTAGTTTATTATTTGGTATAATAATGAATTTACTCCTTCACTCAGCACCAGTTTAATTACATTAAGATGAGAATATAAAAAGCCCCCATGGCTATAGGGGAAGAGAGAACATGATAATATCATACATAATCCTGGATTTACATGTTACAGCATCTTACAACATGTGTACATGAGCATGTTACATCATATGACATTATATTAAGAGCAGAGACAATATGCATTCACATTGCACAACTCCCTGCATGTCACATGGAATGATCAGTGAATGGCCATAGAGTATGATATATAACACAGCATGATTCATTAATACACATTATATAACACCTGGTGTCTGACAGCTAATGGAGAGACCGAACCCGGGGCTGGAGATCACATCCAGCACATCTGCAGGAACAGGCAGCAGCAGCAACAGTTAGGCGCCATCTTCCTGACGTCAAATCCCGGCGCCAAAGCTCAGCCAATCAGACGACGAGAACTGGGTAGAGCGGAAGCTTATCCGGTCACCATGGAAACAGACGCTTAGGCAGTGTGGGTCACAGAAAGCCTGGCTGTATAATAATAATAATAATGAAATTATATATTATATATGCAGATGGTTTATATTTCTGTGTTCATGTTTCTGTGTAGGTTTAAAAAAAAAAAAAAAAGAGGAGTCTGAACTTGAACATTTTCTTTGAATAAAGGCTTTATGTGCAAAAAAGGCTAAATAAAAAAAAAAAATTAAATGTAACCCCCCCCTCCCCCCCCAGCCTCCCAATTAATGTACTAATTAATTAACTAATCTAGAGGGGGCTGAAGTGCCAGAGTGGCCAAAAGGTAGATCCCCGTCTGTTGTACAGCTCTCAGGATGCTGTGCCGGCTGGGGACCCACCATTTGTCCATGCTTGCAGGGCTGTATTTGTGAGCAGTGTTTGTGCGGTTGAATGTGAGCATGTTTTTGTATAGAGTATGTGTGTGTGTGTGCATGTAGGGGCGTATTTGTATGTACTGTCGCCATTGGAATGCAGTGGAGTACTTGTGTGTAGTGTTTATGTTTGAGTGCAAGGACGTGTTTGTATGCAGTGTTTGCTTTTTAAATGCAGGTGTGCTTTTGTGTGTAGTGTTGGTGTTTAAATGAAGAGGTGCTTGTATAATATTTTGTAGTTTGAATGGAGGGGTTTGTATGCAATATTTGTGTTAGACTGCAGGTGTATGTTTGCATGTTGTGTTGGTGTTTGATTGCTTGGATATATGCACATAGACACATACGCTGCCACATATATACATATTTACACAGATATACATACACATTTACATACTCATGCACACACACACTCACACTGACACATACACACATAGATTCAAACACATACATACACTGACATAGAGATACATATACCTTGACACATGCACACACCCTGACATTTACATACACACACAAATGCACATCCTGATACTCAGATGCACACACACATACTGACACATGCATACACACTAACACATGCACCCTGATATCACAGGAGTCCCATTTTAGTGTACTTCCTACATTTAGAACCTCTTCACCGATGTCATTATTAACCACCACAAATCCACTTACATTTTTACCAGCCTTACATGAGCTCCTGGAAGCTTTTGGCCGACTATCGTACTATAAATTGAATACTCCAAAAACTCACTTCTGCTAAAGCTATCCCCCCTTCAAAGTTGCAATTGTTGCAAACCTCATTTGCCTATGATTAACCCTATATATATTTCTCAATGTATAAATCATTTGGAACTGCATCTCAAATTGTTAATGCGTTGGTACATGATCCATCTTCGCCTATAAAAGATATGCCCCAATCTTCCTGCACAGTGTTGGCGATGCAATTTTGCCACGGGCACGTTACTGCACATGTGGTCGACTTGACCTTTGACCTACTGAGACAAAATTTACTCCTAGTACATAGTGTCAGCGAAAGCTAAATTTTATTCACTGTTAAAGGACCACTATAGTAGTGCCAGGAAAACATACTCGTTTTCCTGGCACTATAGTGCCCTGAGGGTGCCCCCACCCTCAGGGTCCCCCTCCCATCCGGCTCTGGAAAGGGGAAAGGGGTTTAAACTTACCTTTTTCCAGCGCTGGGCGGGGAGCTCTCTGCCTCCTCTCCTCCTCCGATCCTCCCCGCCGGCTGAATGCGCACACGCAGCAAGAGCTGCGCGCGCATTCAGCCAGTCGCATAGGAAAGCATTTACAATGCTTTCCTATGGACACTGGCGTGCTCTCACTGTGAAAATCACAGTGAGAAGCACGCAAGCGCCTCTAGTGGCTGTCAATGAGACAGCCACTAGAGGATTAGGGGGAAGGCTTAACCCATTGATAAACATAGCAGTTTCTCTGAAACTGCTATGTTTATTAAAAAATGGGTTAACCCTAGAAGGACCTGGCACCCAGACCACTTCATTAAGCTGAAGTGGTCTGGGTGCCTAGAGTGGTCCTTTAATGGTACCCTGAGATCTGCCCCATGATTATTCCCTATATGATTGTACATTCTACTGGTGGCTCAAACCGGGTTAGCAAGAGCCTGGAAATCCATTAGTCTTTCGCCTGCTCCACATATTCAAGGGGTGGCCAATAGTAGAACTTGGAGTGCTTGGTCTACAAACAGGGGTATTAGAACGTTGATTGGGAAGCAATGCTGGCATTTGTGGCATGCTTATGTACAATCGACCCAGTTGCAGCATTAAAAGGATTTATCATCCTCTAGACTACCTTATAGAGACAGAGATGATCGGACGGGGCTACATTTGGGATGTTAACATGGAATGAGTTTCATGTGGCAGGTTTACAATGACATTGCTTGGGTTATCACCCTTGATTTAATATCAAGCTGTCATTAGCACCATGTTCAACTTCCCTACCCCTACTTTTTTTTTTCTTTCCATGTTTTTACACGTTTGTATTTTTCAATATTGTTATTACTAAGGGGTGCCCTCTATTGTGGGGCAGGGTGCAAAGTTGGGTGTTATAGGGGGTGTGTAAAAGTGGGAGCATTTATTTGTTACACAATTAGCAGTGTTCATGTAATAGGGATCTTCCACACTATGTAAAACTGTGCTTGCATTTTCTAGTCCCCCTTTTTATTCTGTACCCCAAGGAAACAATATTTCTTGTAAAAACTTATAAAAGTGATGTAAAAACATATACAACTTTATGTTTAAAAAATAAATATATTTATTTATTTTTTTACTTTTGTGTATTTGATAGTTTAGATTCATTCAATCCACCTAAAAAAAAAAAAAAAAAAAGATTTTTAAACTAACCTTTAATCCAGAGAGACTCCACCAGGCAGCCTCTCACTTCTTATAAGATCAGCTTGACGGATGATCTCAGACCAATCCAATGCTTCTCATATGAAGCATTGGGGACCTATAAAACATGTGTGTCAGTTGCAGCATTCTGCCAATCAGATGCTTCTCATAGACAATGATAGCTGTCAGGTGTACATTTTGGAATTAATAGTATATATCAAAATTAAATAGTCTTATGCATTATGATTGCCAAGTGTAGCCATCTAGTTTTAAGCTTTGCTTTATTGACACCCACAACCACAATCATAGAAGTGTGAAAGGCAAATGCATAGTCCAATCATAGAGAAAAAAATAGAAATAAAGTATTTTTCTTCATAAGTAGTAACAGCATGTTTAGTCCCAAACTTTTTATTTAGAGAAAGGAGGTACTGTGGGTGGTGGGAGAAGGAAGGGTGGGGGGTACGAACAGCTGCTGATTGGCTCTCCTGCTTCTTGGCACTTCACACCAGGCACAGCACATAGCTTTTCTTACTCCCTACAAAATGTAAGCTACAAGAAGGATAAGAAGGAAGGATAATGAATTAAATGGAGACTCTGTAATGGTAACAAGGGTTGACTTGTCCTTGATCCACACCTGTCCTACTTCCTTTTTATCCCTTACCAGGGACCACTGAACTAAGCAATGTCTGTGGATGTGCGCTAGGTTGGGGACATTTGGCCTCTTCGTTATGCATTAATAGCCCCCACCTGACGCAAATGGGTGGGGAATGGGAGAGAAAAATAGGTGTCCCCCGTGTCTAGTGAATGTTCAGCAATGTCTTCCAAGTCAGTAGTTTTAAACATTAAAGCGACACTGTCGTCACCCCCTCACTCCCTCCTTCAAAATGAGTATGCAAAATCCACAGACAGTGACAAACCTGCTTTAAATAGATATGCCCCATTGGGCACAAGAAAGGTTACAAACCTCCCTCACTATAACTTGGCAGCATGGCTGATAGATTTTTAATTATTTGCCTGGACAAATAATTTGGATTGTTAAAAACTAGGCACTGATTAGAAGCATCCAGGCCCAGATTTTAACAATCCAGATCTGAATTTCAGCCATCAGGATGTTGTTAAATAGTGTGAACAATGTCACGATATAACAGTCCAAATGGCCCCGTATGCTCTGGATTTTGCAGTCTGAATAACCCCATATGCAGCCAGATGCTTGTGCCCCATTTGGTACAAGGCTATTTGGACTCAAGTGAATTATCCTGCCAATGTCCCTGTGGATGATTGTGGTTCTATTACATTACAGTGTTCAACCAATAGATGGCACTGTGCCACACAATGTCACTGTGGATGGTTGTGCTTCCGTCACACACTCAAAAGTACCTACATAGCTTTAGCTTAATGATGTATGTTTGGTGTATAGATCATGTCTCATTGTTCAATTCTCCCTCATTAAGAAGTTAAATCACTTCGTTTATGCAGGCCTTACCACACCTCCCCTGGCTGTGACTCACACAGCTGCCTTACACATTTCCTGAAAAAGATTATACATTTGTTAACTTTCCCTATTGCGCAGTGTGTTTAATTGTAGATTATGCTAACTTTAGTTTGCTAATAATCTAAAATTTAATAATGATAGGGGGTGAATATTTTTCTAATCTTTCTGTACTCAACTCCTATAGCAGCAAAATATTACTCAGCAACAAGCACACCAATCCAAAAGAAGAAGCAGAGATATGATGAACTGCAATCTGAAACACCTCCTCTTTCTTGGATGTGAGTAATTAACCGGATTAACATAAGGGCTGATGGAGCTGCAGCTCCAGGCCCATGCCCATGGAATAGGCCCATTTAAAAAAAAAAAAAATAAATTTTTTTTTATTTTTCCACACTACTCTTAGGTTTGCCACCTGACTGGTATTTTAAGGCTCAGACAGTATTTGAGGCTGCCTGGCCGTGATGGTATTGCAGTAATACCTGCAATACAAATGCAAATATTTTTCTCAGTACAAACAGAGATTACTCTGCAATACCAGCACCGGCCAGCAGGGGTCACTGTGTGTGGAGAGAGGCAGGGATAGGAAGTTACAGCATCTCCCTCCCTGCCTCTCTCTACTCACTGATCCACTGGGGAGCAGCTACACAGCACAGAGAGTCCAGACAGCAGCTCCCAGC